TTTTTTTTTTTTTTTTTTTTTTTTTTTAATATTAGTTACCTTCATAAATAATTTTAAAAGGATTAATAAATGATTAATAGATGCCATATGCGTATGTACAGACATAAGTCCTACATTTCATGCATGGTTAAAGGATATCAGTAGAAGGTGTTATAAAAGTCATCCATAAGCAACCTATTGACCAGTGGACTCAATAACAATTGATTAAAACATTTATTAATTTATTATCCCTTTATAAACTATTTCTTCAAGAAACTCTAATATAAAGTGTGGCCAATTTTAAGTACCACTACTTCTCTTCATCTTTCTACTTCCTTGTTCCTCTCATTTTTCCTGGTGCAATATGTTCTCACTCTCCTTCCCATTACTTCCTCCTTGCTCTCATTTCCTCTTTACTTCCACACACTCATTCCATCTTACTCCGTCACTGTGTTGTCTATCCACCATTCTCATTCTCTCTCACTTTTCCACTCTTTTCTTCTATTGTATCCTCTTCTAATGTATTCCCCATTGCACTTGTCTTCCTTTTCTGGAGTCTGGGCATCATTGTATTGTCTCAGTGAACATCTCTGCCCAATGTGAAGCTGCATTCAAAAAAGCTAACTATATGTTAGGATGCATAAGAAATGGGATGGGGAATAACACTTGAAACATTAGAATGTCTTTATACCTTTATATTAAATCAGTGGTATGGCCTTACCTAGAATACTGTGTTCAGTACTAGTCACTCAGTCTCAAAAGGATAATGCAGAACTGGAGAGGGTTCAGAGAAGAGCAACAAAAATGATCAAAAGGCTGGAAAAACTCCCATATGAAAAGAGAGTGAAAAAGGATTGGGAATGTTAACCTTAGAAAGGAGATGAAAAAGAGTGGACATGATAAAAGTATATAAAATAATGAGTAATCTAGAAAGGATAGATTAGGAACTTCTGTTCTCCCTCTCTTCCCTATCTCATAATACAGGAACAATGGGCATTAAATTGAGTTAAAAGGTGGAAAATTAAAAACCGGTAAAAGAAAATACTTTTTCACACAACACGTGACTAATCAGTGGAACTCATTGCCACAGGAACTCATTGAGGCTAAGAATTTAACAAGATTCAAAAAGGGACTGGACATTATATGGCTATCAAGAATATCCAGCATTATAATCAATGGCAACAAATATTTTGGACGGAATATTAGACCTTGTGCTTCAGGATGAGACCTATGCTGCAGGATAGATTATTCCTCATCTCATTACTGCAGGGTTCTTCCTCTGAAGCATCTGGTTCTGGCCACTATTGGGGACAGGACACTGAACTGAATGGACTATGGGTTTGATCCAATATGGTGATTCCTATGTTCCTCTTTATCTGACAGTTTTACACTCTTCCTGTATACATATATCCTCTCCAGTTCTGCATTATCTCTCTTCCCCTCTTACATATATGTGTTCTGTCTCCGATTCAGGGAAAGTTCTGACTCCCTGTGTACAGTGTAGCAATGTAGCTGGGGGTAGCATGGGTGATGGCTTGGGCTAGCTGCACAGGTTTGTACCCAGGTAGTCTGGGCAGGTGTGTACTCACGTGGCTAGCCTGAGCGGCTACCTGCCCTACCCCCCAGTTACACTGCTATTTTTAGCATGCTAGCTCAAACATACCCTCAGGGCAGGTCTACACTTAAAAAGCGGCAGTGGCACAGCTGCACTGAAGCGCTACAGTGAAGATGCTACAACACCGCCGGGAGAGCTTCTTCCATGGGCTTAGTTAATCCACCTCCACAAGAGGCAGTAGCTATGTCGACAAGAGAAGCTCTCCCATTGACATAGCGCTGTCTACACAGGGGGGTTAGGTCGGTATAACTGCATCGCTCAGAGGTGTAGATTTTTCACACCCCTGAGCAACATAGTTCTACTGAAGTAAGTTTGTAGTGTAGATCCAGCCTTAGTGTCATCTGTCCCTCCACCCCGTAGTGAGACAGTAATAATAAACAACCTTCCTGAGTGACATAAATTAACGCCGGCATAAGCTTCTGCCACTTGCGGAGATGGGATTTTTTTTTATGCCGATGGGAGAGCTCTCTCCCATTGGCATAGAGTGTCTTCACCACATCTGCATCACTGCAGTGCTGTACGTATAGACATGGCCTAGGTGAGAGAGACAAGCTATCGAGCCACACAAAGTTGTTCTTCCGGTCTGGAAGAGGTACTCCCAGCATCACAGCTAAATGCAAGGTGGAACAGACTGTTAAGTACATTAGTAGTTAGCACATATTGTAAGGGACCATTCAAGGTAGAGTGGCCCGTTAACACCTCTGCAGTCATAGGACAAAAAGAGGGGGTTAGTGGGTTGCAGATTGTTGGAATAAGCAAAAATCCAGTGTTTCTGTTGAGTCCATGATTTTTAGTGTCTAGCAGAGTAATGAATTATGCTCCCAGGCTTGTCTTTTGAAAGTGTGGTGCAGGTTTCCTTTGAGGATGAGGAGTGAGAGGTCCGATATAGAGTGATCACTCTGTGAAAAGTGTTCACCCATACGTGATGGGGTGTTTTTGTCTTTTATCATTTTCCTGTGTGAGTTCATTCAAGAGCATAGTGATTGTCTGGTTTCATCCATATATTGGATGAGGCATGTGTAGGCATGCGTAGGATCCTTGGATCTTGAAAGGTGTGTTGTGGGATGTGTTGATCATTGTAGCAGTGGAGATTTGTCTGCAGATTTTGCATGTGTTGTTCTGGAAGGGTCTGGTGCCGCTTTGAGCTGGTTTGTCCTGATCTGTGGGGAGCTTGCTTCTGATGATGATCTTGGAGAGATTTGGAAGTGGTTTGAAGGCCAGAAGTGGGAGTTAAGGGAAGATTTCTTTCGGATGGGGTCCCCATCGAGTATTGGTTGTAGTTGTTTGGAAATACCCTGTATGGGTTCCAGTGGGGAGGGGAAGGGTGACATCTAGGGGTGCGCAATCAGAGGGGGTTTTATTTCTGTATTGAAGCAGGTTCTCTTGAGGTGTTTGGGTGGCCCATTTCATGATGGGTTCTGCTTCTCTGGTGGAGTGTCCTTGTTTGGTGAAGGCGGTTTTAAGTGTGTTCAGGTATATATATCCCGGACTTTCTCCTCAGCATAATCTGTGGTATCTGAGTGTCTGGATGTAGATAACAAATTTCTTGGTGTGTTTGGTGTGGCTACTGTATCTATGAAGATAGATGTGGTGATCCATGGGTTTCTTGTATATAGTTGTTTGTAGGGTTCCATTGTTGAAGCTGGTTGTGGTGTCCAGGAAGTTGATGCTAGTGTGGGGATGTTCCAGAGAAAGTTGAATGGATGGGCAGTGGTTGTTGTGGAAAATCTATGAGGGAGTTTAAGCCGTCTGTCCAGAGGATGGAAATATGATCTATGTATCTCAGGTATATCATGGTTTTGTGGTGCACTTCTCCAGAAATTCTTCAAGGTAGCCCATGAAGAGTTTGGCATATTGGTGAGCCATCCTAGTGCCCATGGCTTTTCCCATGGTTTGAATAAAGTATTTGTTGTTGAATTTAAAATTATGGGTGAGGATTAAATGGATGAGTTTGGTGATGTGTTTGGGATGGATATCTGAGGGTTCTCCATTGTCTAGTAAATATTTGAGGCAGGCAGCTATGCCATCATTGTGAGGGGATGTTGGTGTATAGGGAAGTGACATCTGTGATGGTAAGGATGATGATCTGAGGCAGGTTGTTAATGTCGTGGAGTTTGTGGAGGAAGTCATTTGTGTCCTGGAGGAAGCTGACTCTCTGTGTGGTGGGTGTTTTGAGGATGGTTTCTGTGAATCCCGATATTTCTTTGGTGGGGATGCTGTGGCCAGATATGATGGGTTTGCCTGGTTCCCTTGTTTGTGTATTTTGGGAAGCACGTAGAAGGTTCCTGGGGGATGAGTTTGCAGAGTTTCTCTTTGAGTTGTATGGGGCAAGATTTGATGATATCCTTATGTTCCAGGGTAAATTGTGGTGTGGGGTCTTCTTTGAGTTCTTTATAGTAAATGGTGTCGGAAAGTAATCGGTTGGCCTTGTTAATGTAGTCATCATGGTTGAGGACTACAATGGTGCCCCCTTTGTCTGCTGGTTTGTTCACTATCTCGTGGCTAGATTTCAGGGACTGTATGGCTGTCCTCAGCAGTGGAGAGATTATGGTGGATGTGATGTTTAAGAATTTCAAAGTCAGTTTTTTTCATGAAGCTATCAAGGTTATGATCAAGAGTGTGGTTTCATCTGCTTTGTGGTGTCCAGTCAGATCTCCACCCTCCTAAGCATCTGCCCAGCCTAGCAAGAGGGACATGTAGTGATGATTATGATAATGTTTGTTTTGGTAATAAGTTAATCTTCCTCTTACTTCTGATGTAGGTACTGATGCTCTATACCTTTGCAAACACACCAACTCTTGCAAGTGTTTCTGAAATTCTACCTTATTCAATTACAGTAGTTCTATTATGATTTTTCTTTCATCCCCTCTTGAATACTTTCCCTCTTCTGTAGATTACTCAGTGGTTAAAAACCTTCAGAAAAATCTATCCAAGTATTTTATATTTGGCATAAACACGATAGAATGCATTAGATAAGTCTCCCTTTAGAAGGATTACTTTGAATCAACTGTCTTCATGCATTTTTCATTGTTACTTTCTTGGCAGGACTGACTGTGCAGAGTGTAAAAACTCATTCAGTCACAGCAGTTGCCTTGCAGTAAATTTATATAACATTCTCAACTTTTGTCTTGTTAGTCTTAATTTCAATTAGATCTCACAGTGGATGTTAGTTAAAGCCCAACTGTTGTTTTACTTTACCATGAGTCTGCAGTTGTCATATATCCATATTGTGACAATAATCTCTGTTTTATTAACAAGTAAAATTTTTGGCAGTATCTCATCCTAAAATATTTGTTTCTCTCTCTCTAAGGGTGTGGGGGGGGGAAAGACCTCTAAAGCATATCTGCATTTCCTGGAAATTAACATAACACCTGTTTTTAAAAAAAAACTTTTTTTCAAAAAAATTATAGGAGTAAAATATTTATTGATGAATTTATAATTAGTGTATTGAAGCTGTCACTATAAAATCTAAAATATGTCTCAAAATATTACATAAGGCAAAATGATTAAATTGAATAATTATTTACCTACACAGGAATTTGAAGACACACCTCAAATAATATGTTCCTAATAGCAGTGGTAACTGTGTGTTTAATGAATTATTTACAAGGTTAAGTACATTTTATTTATAAAACAAGTTTGATAGATGGATCCCTCAGTCACTGTTCAATGTGTAAAAAACAGCACTATTTTACTCAAAGTCTCTGCTCCCTGTGCCTGTTTTGTATTCAGAGTCATTCTAGGCTAGATCTACAAAGGGACTTACACGTTGCAATGCTCAGTGTTGCAACATCTAACTTTTAGGTGCCTTGCCATCCAGTGGAATTCACAGCCCTGAGTTAAGCACCTAGGTGCTCTAAACAATGCATGTGAAGCGTTTGGGATTCACACAAGCCAACATGCTGAGCAGGGAGCCATCTTAGCTGGCCAGTTGAAAATTCCAAGGAGAGGGTATGTCCTCAATCCTTTAAAGGGACTTATCTCTGCTTAAATTCCCCCCTCTGCATGGTGAGGAGAAGAGATTTAAAATTGGGTCTCCCTTCTCTCAGGTGGGTGCCCTAACCACTGGACTTCAGAATCATTCTCACTCTTTCTGGCCCAATTCACATTTAATTATTTATACACAGTGGAACAGCTTCAACAAGAGAGACTGAGAGAGCTCCACATCAGAATATCCCATCGTTCAGTGCTTAAGGGAGAAGTGGGAAATCCAAGTTCAAATCCCTTGTCCCTCTCAGGCCATTTCCCACTCCCACTCCCCAGGCCATTTTGTGTGAGTTTAGGCATGCTCAGAGCATGCCTACCAGATCAGGCCTTGCAGGCAAGATAAGCCAAGGAATGCCTAGTTTGAGGATCCTGCTTTGGCTTACGCATGAGATGGGCACTTGGGCGCCTAGACAGAGGCAGCTGCAAGGATCTTCATTGGCAGAAACTTAGGCACCTGGGAGACTTTAATGCTGGAAATGCAGACACCTGAGGATTTTAGGCACCTACAGAGCAGGGGCAGCTGAGTGCAGCTTTGAGGATCTCCGTGACTGTGAAAAGTTGGACTTAGATGTCTGAAGTGGCAGTTAGGTACCTGAGTCCTTTTGTGGATCTAGCCCCATCTGCCTAGTTAAAATATGCTTTTATATCTCTCTACTTTGTGGCTCATGCAAGGTCCTGATATTACAGGACTCTGAACGTGAACCCTGAGAAGGTGAGCATCATCAACTCCGGTGGAAGTCAATGGGAGTGGAATGCTCTTACGCCTCACTTAAGCAAAGTGCTTAAGCACAAGCATAACTTTGCACATGTGCAACGGCGGGGGGAGTTGCAGACTAGGAGTAAGAGGAGGTTTTTAGATTCAAATGGGGGTAGAATTTGGTGTACAGAATCTTGTACTGAGGCTGAAGCATAATCTAGAAAGAACCCATATTGACAGCTGGTGACACAAGTACAGGGCTCTTTGCTAGTCCTAAGAAAAGTAATTTACTAGGGGGTTGGGAAAAGGACAAAGCATACTTTTTAAAATATTTTTTTAATAAATTTTAACTTCCCATCTTCTCCTCTACTTGGACAATTCACGGGGCTAATTTCTGTTGAGAAGTGAGCTTACTATAACACAGTGACTGTTAGCATTATACAAAGTACTTGCTAACATTGAAGTGTTATTGAGAGAGTTTAAATACATTCTACGATCTGAAAAGCTTATACTGACTTTCTTTTGTTTGCCAAGATATGAGGTATGTTGTATATCAGTGGGACAGGTTCTGTGTCATTCCATTTGAATTTTATTCTTAATTTTAATTCTTAATCCATCACTTCAGAAACTTTTAAATATAAGAAAACATTATACCCCAAATCCACAGGAATTTAACTTATTTTGTTTAACTTAAATTTTATAATTCTTTTTTATTCCTAAGCGTGCATGGGAGGTGGTTGACTCCAATGAATCTGTATCTCATCATCAAGAGGAGTTACCACCTCCTCCACTGCCTCCTGGATGGGAAGAAAAAGTGGACAATTTGGGACGTACTTACTATGTCAACCATAACAACAGGACAACTCAGTGGCACCGACCAAGTTTAATGTAAGTATCAGAGCAGTTCAATCAATTGATGGAACATGCAAGATTATGAGTAAGGATGGTTATTCTTTCAAACAAGTATTATTATTATGAATTCACAATAGATATCCCAGGCAGTAGGCAGAACAAATCTTAAAACAAAAGACCTAAAGACTTTTATGAGGTACGTTCATATGTTGTTCTTTACAATAACAGATTAGTTGTAAATTTGATGTTAACTGAGATAAATATCGGGGAATATAATTTGGTCTGAGTGTGTGGGTTGTTTGTTTTTTCATAAACCACTCTAGTTAGTTGAGAATTAAAGGCTATGGTCTTTCACTTGGAGATGAAATTGTACTCCTTTAAAAAGTGGTATTCTCTTTTTTTAAAAACTGTGTGGCATCTAATGAAACAAACATCTAGACCATTTTAGTATTTTAGACAAATCTGGAGTTAATCAAATTTTTTATATGAGACAATCTCCAAGCACATACAAAATCTTAAACATTTCAATAGGTATTTATTACCACAGGGACATGGGCTCAGGAAAAAAGGAGAGTTTTCTGTATATAATAGTCCCAGTTTGAAACCAGGTGATTCCTTAAACACATAGGGCCCGATCCAGAATCCTCTGAAGTCAATGGATGTCTTTCCAGTGACTGCAGTGGATGCTGGATCAGACCCATAGAGACAGGTTCTACAAGGTGTTAAGTGTTTTCTGTATGTTGCTGAATGCTCTCAACTCTTTATTGGCTTTAGTAGATGTTAAGGATGTTCAGCAGGATTGGGCACATAGTGAAATACCCTATCCTGCCTTGGGATCACCTAAATTAGGCCCTTGTACCACTGACTGCAAATTGTAGAAATTAGACCACCTATGTTAACAAACTAGAGGGTAATCTAGTTGAGCCCTCCATATACATGTTATCTCTGTAAAATAGACTTAATGAACAAGTTTAACTGAACAGAATTGGTTGTAATTAGTTTTGCTGCTTCAGGGTGTTGGTTTACATTTCCCATCTGGTCAAAAAGAGGGATTTTTGTTTTGTTTTGTTTTTGTTTTAACCTAGACTTTCTCTCACAATTCAGTTTTTATAAAGGCAGACTGACTTCCACTTTCATTGAGCCTCACTGACTGACTGTAATTTGTTTCTGACTAATTTGTTAACATATATTTACATAGTAACCATACAACCTAGATCTCTGCTTACCATTCCTCTTTATAATTTGTATGCATATGACATTTCTCATGCAACTCCCATTCGCAAGTGTGAGGTATGCTCACATTGAAGGGCAAAATCTGACACGTTCTAGAGTTGGAAGAGCCTTGGGGAAATTTACAGAAGGAAACAATGCAGCCAGCCTTAGGGGTGTTCTCTGGCCTGCCAGGTTAGATAATTTACAGTGGCTGTGCTGAAATTGAAGTTCAGGCAGTCACCTCAAAAGCCCAGCTTACTCAGTACGATGATATCTCACCTGACACACATTTGTAGAGATCCTGAAGTAAGGAAGAGCCCTTGTAGGTCACCAATCAGTAGGAATTTTCAAACTGTCATCTTATTTCTGTAATGTTCAGTTTTCCCCTTCTTTATAGATGTCAATTGAAGTTTAGAGACACTGGCTTCAGTGGTGGTCCTTTTATTAATAGCTGTTGATTAATTCTGATAGTAAATTATAGATTTTTCTTAATGGTGTTACAATATTTGAAGGCAGGGGGACTTATGGTAAGAAGCTTTCAGTGTTTTTAATGTTCTGTCAGCTTTTCTTGAACCTCACATATGAATATCTGTAAATGATTTGGTAGTTGCGTTAAATGTTGGGGGAACAGAGGGGTCACAAAAGGTATTAGGAACTGTATGGTTATTGGAAAATGCCCCTATACAAAGAACCATATCTCCTTACGAACTCTCCAGTTTTATTCATGTGTGCTCTAGGTGTCAAGATACCCATATTAGCTTTGTGCCATTATAGATAAGTTATTTGTGCTTCCATGTGTGTATATAAAAAGCTTGCATATTATGTACATATATGTATTGTGGATAAAGTGTGAACAGCAGTACAGTATTATTCTAACTCCATCATACCCATATAATAGTGAACACAAATTGGTACCAACAAGGCTATTAGGGGCATATTGCAGGTTATTGGGAGGTCTCTGCTGACTAGTTAGATTATTTATTTGATAAGAGTGTGCTTACAATAGGAACTAGGAAAGAGAAATCTGCAGCATACCTTTTGAGTTTAAATACAGCTAAAAATATTTCACTTTGCTAAGAGATTTTAATATACACCAAAATGTGTAATTTATGTAATCTTCTACTGATGGCAGAGGTCCTTTCACGTTCTTAATTCTACATTTCTTATTGTTACAAAATACGGTAAGCCATGCATAATTGAGTAGGTAAGATCTGTACTGAAATCAAACATTAGTCAAACACCTAGATTTATTTTGCTGTTTGACATGTAACTACTCTTCTTCCACGATGGGCTAATTATTACAGTAACATCTTTTGAATACTAATTTATATTTATTATCATAATTATGTAAATCTGTGTTGTCTACATTTCTTAAAACCCTACTGTTTATTCTAGGTTTCCTCTTAGTTAGAGATTTGGATACTAATATTTTTATGCAGACAGTGATTTCTAATTAGATTATATATTTATTAACAATAACAGTTGTAATAATTAACATGATATTGTGCCTTTTTACTCTATACGTTTTGCATCGCTTTTAAAACCAACTGATATAATGGAATTTGGGATGTTATATACTGAATGATGGGGCTGTCCTCAGTTGTCTTATCACTGTGGACTTGTCAAACAAACATGATTTCATTTTTTGAGTACAAGTTCGGTTAATAAAGATAACTGGGTAGATGTAATACACCTCTACCCCGATATAACGTGACCCGATATAACACAAATTCGGATATAACGCGGTAAAGCAGCGCTCCGGGGGGGCGGGGCTGCGCACTCCGGCGGATCAAAGCAAGTTCAATATAATGCGGTTTCACCTAAAACACGGTAAGATTTTTTGGCTCCCGAGGACAGCGTTATATCGGGGTAAAGGTGTATATTGAAACTTTGTAAGGCATTTGACTTAGTACTGCACAAAAACCTGATTAAAAAAATAGCACAGTACAATATCAGTAAAGAATACGTTAAATGGATTAAGAACTGGCTAACTGACGGATCTCAAAAAATAGTTGTCAATGGAGAATCATCCTCATCAAATGGGGGTGTTTCTAGTGGGGTTCCGTAGGGCTCAGTACTAGGCCTAATGCTATCCAACATTTTCGTAAATGATCTGGAAGTAAATGTAAAATCACTGCTAATAAAATTTGCGCATGACACACAGGTTGGCAGAGTAGTAAATAATGACAAGGGCAGGGCAGTCATACAGAGCAATTTGGATCATTTGGTAAGTTGAGCCTGTTCAAACAAAATGAGTTTTAATTCAGCCAGATGCAAAGTCATACATGTAGAAGCAAGGAATTTAGACCATTCCTACAGAATGGTGAGGGGGCGGGGGCTGTATCCTGGAAAGCAGTGACTCTGAAAAGGATTTAGTGGTCATAGTGGACAAACAACTGATCAGAAGCTCCCCGTGTGATGCTATGGCAAAAAGGGCTAATGTGATCCTGGGATGTACAAGTAGGGGAATTAGAAGTAGGGAGGTGATTTTACCTTTGTATGCTTCATTGATGAGCCCAGTGCTGGTGCCAGTTCTGGTGTGCATATTTTAAAAAGGACATTGAAAAATGGAGAGAATACAGAAAAGAGCCATAAAAAGGATTGGAGGGCTGGAGAAAATGCCTGAGAGTGAGAGACTTAAAGAGCCCAATTTGTTTAGCTTATCAAAAAGATTGATTGATTGACTGATTGCAGCATATAAGGGCCTTCATGGGGAGAAAATACTGGGTCCTACAATGCTCTTTAATCTAGCGGAGAAAGCCCTTCATGCTTATTATTTGCCTAGTAGCGGAAGAAAGGAAGACAAATTTAAATTAGAAATTTAGGCACAAATTTTTATAATGGGTGATTAATCGGTGCAACAAACTACCAAGGGAAGTGGTAGATTCTTCATCTTTTGATAGGCTTCCAGTCTTGATGTGAAGCTTTCTGGAAGCTGTGCTTTATAACAGTCCCTTCTGGCCTTAAGCTCTTGAATCTATGAAACAGAAGTAGGAAACCTAGTGGCTCATGTGATTGCTAGTAGGCTGTGTATCATCTCACTCACAGGTCAGTGTTTCAAATATAGCCTACTCAGGTAATGAGGAAATGTGGTGATGAGTGTTCTAGGGTCTGGGTTTGTGGTGTGCGGCCTGTGAATCACTTGTGCCCCTTGAGGCTGTAAATTGTAGCTGTTGAAAGTGATGGTTATGAAGAAACTTCTTTTCTTAACACGATCGCCTTGGAAGGCTACAATTTCAAGCCTCAGGTCATAAGTGCAACTCCCCATTACTCCCCATTGTATCAAGCCTGAAGGAGAGAGAGGTGTAGGAACTGGCTGTTGTGAGCCTGTGCCTGCTTGGGGATCCCCAAAAGGGGAATTATAGGTGGCTTTCACTCCCAACCACTTGCATTTCTCGTTGGTGATTCCCCATGAGGGAATCTCTAGCAGGCACAGAGCCAAAATCTGTTTCCTTTGTCCCCCTCTCCATAGTCCCTGGTGCAGGGAGCATGTTGGGGGTGGGGAGAAATTGCTGGAGCACAATGTGATTAAATTACTTAATTTTTACTTTGTGCAAAGGGGGCAGACCAAAGCAGGAAATCTACCCCAGAGTATTGATTGTGGCTCCTTAAACTTCCTGAAATAACACATTCAGTCCTTTATCTATGTGAAATGAGTTGGTGGTCTGAGGCCAGTTCTTTCTGAAGAGGCTTCCATCTCACAAAATCTCTCAATAACAACTACCATCCTTTGTTGGCAGCCTCATCAGAGAGAACCAGGATTGACTTAAGCATAGAGATGGAAGTAGCATCTTAGCTCTTGTGATGGTTCCTCCTAGCTCAGGAAATGATGTGCAGTGGTGGGGAACCTATTGCAGCTAATGGGACAGGCAGAGCTAAAGGCCAATTCCCTCAACCAATGGGGCAGAACCACTGAACCCAGGCCATAAAAGAATTCTTGGAGCTACAAATGAAAAAAACAGGAACGGGAGTGAGGTCCAAAGTTAAAAATGAAGGAACCAGAAGGGGATGCTGAGCAGAGAACCCCAGGCAGCACCTCTGATCCTCTAAGGAGTCAGCGTTCACCACCTAGGGAATTCTTCCCAGAGACGTGACCGGACAAGGGACTGGAAATAGGTCCTGCAGTTGCAGAGCACACCAGAAGGCTTTATGACTTTGTGGGGCCACCAATGGGGTGTCCCTGAATGAGGAAGTGTGGGGGAAAGTGCAACCAGAACCACTATAAGAGGTTCTGGAGGACCCAGAAGAGGGGCTGCAGCCTGGCATGTAGATGTGCACCAGGGTCTCCCTTTTGTTGCAAAAAGAACAGGTGTCAGGATTCTCTGAACTGTACCAGATGCATGCTCATGGCTCCATAGAGGAGCTGCCTGCTAATATTCCCAGCAGGCCATGGAACCAGAGTGGAGTTCAGACTAGCCCACAGTAAGTGGTAGCAGGTCCCACCACTTGGTGTTGGGGCAGGACACAAAGGCAAGGAAGTGAATGTTCTTGGCACACAGTTCGGAGACGGACTGGATAGATGGCATTGAGCCTGCTCAAGTTGTATGCTGGGGATGCCTGGGGCAGCGGGTGATGAAAAACTCCAGAAGGCCAGGAGTGAGGGGTGAGCAAGGAACACTGACCTGCAGGACTTGCTTGTTATAAGCCACAGAAGTGGGTGGTCAAGGCTGCCATTGTCTCCTGCAGCACCTGATGGGTGATATGCAGGGTGAGCAGCCCCATGCACTAGCCGAGCACCACAGGGTCCAGTCCCTCCAATCATAGTCCAGAAGGACTCCAATTCTGGTGGCCCTATAGATCTGGTTGCTGAAACCAGCTTCCAGGTCCCGGGGAGGTCGTGGTATTGGAGCCCTGAGAGGTGGTGGAGGAAGGTGTGCACTAGCATGTTCTATGCCAGACTACCTGCACCATAAAAGAATCTCTGCAGGGCTGAAGGCGGATGGCATGTACCTGCCCACCCCTCCAGGAGGAGGCTCAGGACACCTGCAGGGACCCAGTACAGGGCCAGCCAGAAGAACTCTAGGATTGTCTTTTGGAGGCTGGCCAGAGTTCCTAGGGGTGGGTGCTTGGTGTTGAACTGGTGCCAGAGCATGGGCAGGACTAGTTGGTTGATCACGAGCACCCACAGTGGTGAGGTAGTGTATGGAAGTGTGGGCTGCTCTACCTATTTTATATATAAAGGATCTCAGTATCTAATGTTGTCCGAGTAGCTGCAATGAGTAATAAAATCTGTTGTTCTCTTTTTTAATTTAAACAGAAGTTTTGTGATTGACTTCAGGTTTTATTTGCTTTGGACTATGGGTTGATCTGTTTGAATATATTTTGACAGAGTTATGATATAAGAATTAATCTTATTGTGCCTTTTTAATTACTTGTAGATGGACAGAACATCTTGAATTACAATGTGTTAATTTAGGATTAATAGTTTTGCTGTTCTCCCCTCTATCCTTGCTCGTTTCCACAATGTCCAGTGATGTTGCATCTGATTCTGACAACAACATCAGACAGATAAACCAAGAGGCAGCCCATAGACGGTTTCGTTCTCGGAGACACATTAGTGAGGATTTGGAGCCTGAGCCTTCGGAGAGTGGAGATGCATCTGAAGTACGTACAGGTCTTGAAATCATTTCCTCAGCAATAAGAAACTGTTCTATGGTGTTACAAGAGTCCCTATAACTAAGTTAAATTCCTCCAAACAGATTCCTTTTAATTGTAAGTTAGTTAATACACGATATGTACAGCAATGTTTTCACACAATTTTTTTGAGGTAGCTGCCTGAGCCAAATTCTGGTGATAATTAGGTGGAATGAAAGTGAATGAGGTGCTTTTTCCAACTTGTCTAACTTGCCATAATCTTTTTCCTTTTGTCAGCCCTGGGAAACCATTTCAGAGGAAGCGAGTCTAAGTGGAGATTCCTTAAGCCTGTCATTGCCACCACCCCCGGCTTCTCCAGTCTCGCGGACCAGTCCTCAGGAGCTGTCTGATGAATTGAACAGAAGACTTCAGGTCACTCCTGATTCCAATGGGGAACAATTTGGTTCTTTGATTGTAAGCAGTGTGCTCACCATATATATTACTGAACTAACCTTGGTTACTTTAAGTCTGATATGGTCTGAATCATCCATCTGTGTAGGTAGTAGTTGGAAGGTATTATGAATCAAGCATTATTTTACACTTGAGGGCTGGGATTCTTGTTTTAATAACCTCAATCTTGTCCCATAATTTGATATTTGAGGTTGAACAAGAGCAAGAATTATTATTAAATATGCATGTATCTTCTAAACAGTTGTAGACAGTGGATAAAATCCTGTTTCCACTGAAGTTAATGGAAGTTTTGCCATTGACGTCATTGGAGCCAGAATTTTATCTAGTGTCTTTAAAAACAAACCTGGCTTATAGTATGTTTATTTTTTTAAATATCACCTTTTGATTATTAAAACAGAATATTTTAAAATCCTATTTACTTTTTACTGTTCGCTTTTTGCAGTTCAGTTAGAAATAGACTTGTCAGTTTTGATGTCTGGTTGTCAAGTACTGGCAAAATATTGCAGCGTTGAGATGAATTGCACACCACTGTGGAATGTTTATTTGGATGTCAGTGTGTGGTGGTTTTGTGTGGGTGTGTGTATTAGAATTTTAAAAACAAATGTGGAAACACATCTCTTGATCTTCGGTTTTAGCAGATGCAAAATTTCAACTGAAAGTGTCCCTTTGAATTTGATTGTACAGCTTGATATGGTCAGAATGTCACCATTCAATATAGTACTAAAAATAATAAACAGTACTAATGTTACTTAAACAGACTTACCAAGTTTCACTCATATGAAGGAAAGCTCCATCTATTTTGGTTAAATTTTAAGTCATTTTTTATTAAAATATTACACTTATTATGGATTTTGTAATTTGTTTCACTGAGATGAAATTTTTTTTAAATCCTACTAGTGGAAATTATCTTAGCTTTAGAGCACTGTTACAGTAATGGTCATCTTACAAATAAAAGATATTGCTTCTGTGTATGTTTGTAATATATTTTAAAACAAGTGCTATTCTCTTAAATTAGAACTCGGAAAAGATCTCACAATTTGAACTGGATCAAATATTAAAAGGCTTAAATAAGATATAATTGGAGCTGTTTAGTTGTGGTAAAATATGAAATTTCAGGGTTTTATAAGATTTGTATATGTTCGCTCTCCTTAGTAAGATGAAAAGTTATAATTTGTATTTGTAGTATCTTATAATCAAGGCAAATTGATGATCATGATCATATCATGGCGGACGAGTAATATAATTGCAAGTGTGGGAATGTTTCATGTCTCTCTGATAAAATAAACAATGGTAAATATTGAATCGAACATAGGAAACTGAATATATTGTCGTCTCCTAGGACATCTTATTGTCATTCAGGAGATAAGAAACCTACATTGAGATACGTTCTGGTTAAGTGTTACTTTACAAAATTAAGTAGATGTAAATTCTACTCAGAGTCCATTTGAATAGATGTCTTATGATGATTTGAATGTCAGCTGTGGGCTAGTTTAGCAGACTCTGTAACCCCAATCCTGCAGTCAGAACCACATGGTAGAGCCTGGTACCTTTGTGGATACCCACTGATTTCATTGGGACTCCATGCTGGGGACAGGAGACTATCCACATGGAACCAATAGCTTTGACTGAAAAAATTGTCTAAATTAAGGTACATCAATAATAATTCTTGTCCCACACATAGTGTATGTGGCAGCAAAATGAGATTTTCTTTTTAAAAAAATGATTTTCACTTTGTGTGTACTCTTAATTCAAACTTGTTAGATCAAAAATTGTATCTTTTGGGGAAAGACTGGAGGTTCTGAGATGCACCTTATTAACTTACTTTATGTTATTTATTTGTATTCCCATAGCACCTGGGAGTGTCAGTCTGAATCATTCTTTAAACAGGCCAGATAGTTTGTATATCTGTAGTTCACAGTTATTCTATTATTCATATATTGTTTGCCAGTTGTCCTCTGCATAAATGTCTGAGATATGAATTGTGCAAATAAACAGTCTAAAAATACCCAAGATCTATTTCTATGCATGGAACCTGCAATCTCATTCAGACGATGTAGAAAAGCAATGCAATAAGGTATCCAGAAAGCAGCTGACACACAAACAGTGTTTGTCAGCTAAATTAACAGGCTTCTTATTTGCACTAATTCACTTAAGAGGGAGCATTGCTGATTCTAGAAAGAGAGAATAGGGTTCCAAGTAAGAGGTTGTTTTGAAGCTGATTGATTTTCTTTCCATCTTATGGAATTCTCATGAGTAATAGAAAAATCATTGACACTAGGCCTAATGTCTTGAATCTAAAGTCCAGATGCTAGTGTGTGACGCTAGTACGCTATATGGGGATATTATAAAGTGAATGTGTTTTTTAACAGGGAGGCAGTGTTATCCTAAGAACTTACCTTGTTAGCAGGTGTTGAGCCTGCCAGGTGTTGCTGAGCCCTGGTCCGTTGTTGCAGGTGAACCTTTAACCCTACTCTAGGTATAAGGGAGATTGGAGTGGCTGTCTGCACAGAGAGAGGGGATCTGGGAAGAACAGTCTTTGAGAAGAAACCTTAGTTGCTGCCAAATCTGAGAAGGCTTAGAGCCGTAATTTGTGTTTCATTTTGAGTCAGTTTGTTTATAAAGCCAATTTCCATGGAAGTAGCCTGTGTTTTGAAGTAGAAAGGGAAAGCCACCTGTTCAGGCTTACATGTCAGTGTAAAAAATTGACTGGGACCAGCATTCGTATTTTTAAAGATCAAGCAGGGTGATTCTTTGGGGGTCATCAATAAACTAGTCCCTTCCCCCCTCACAATAGCTCTAAAATGAGACCCATTTTAAATAAAAAGGGGATGGGAATGTGCAACCTTTGGACCCTCACTCTCACTGCTTTGGACCCTCACTCTCACTGCTGCACTGTAGCCCAAATCCTTGTGTTGAGGTCCATGCATGCAAAGGGTAATTCTCTAAGTGTCTAGAACTGTTAGGTCTCCATATGGTGCAGTTTTTTGAAATCCTGACCTATGTCACGTGACTGGAGCCAGGAAATACAATTCAGTCATTTACCAGTATTACTTTGTGTCACACTTAGTGTTGACAATTCTCGCAGTTATATCATGAGTAAGACCCTATTTCAGTTACGGGATGGTTGTCAAATAATTTTGTCTGAGTTGTGCGCAAGACACAGAAAATCATGGAAAAGTAATAGTGGATCTTTTGTTAATTGTGGTTATTTGGAAAAGCTAGAGAGTCCTATTTGATTAAGAAAAAAATGCTGGAACAATATAAACACTCAAATATTATGTTATGCCTGCTAATTTTTTTGATATCAGACATTTTGCTGCAACTATGTTAGTCAATAATGCGCATGGCTGACAGCCCAAGCTCTAGCTGCTATCAGCTTGGATAAATGGGGTTCTACTGTACTAATAGGGAAACAAGTGTTTGTTGCAAAGGGGGAGGGATAGCTCAGTGGTTTGAGCATTGGCCTGCTAAACCCAGCATTGTGAGTTCAATCCTTGAGGGGGCCACTTAGGGATCTGGAGCAAAATCAGTACTTGGTCCTACTAGTGAAGGCAGGGGGCTGGACTCAATGACCTTTCAAGGTCCCTTCCAGTTCTAGGAGATAGGATATCTCCATTAATTTGTTTATTTAATTTATAAAACGTATGCAAAATTGTTTGTGAAAATAGCGTCCAAAGTAAGCTAATTAAAACAAAAATTGCGGTGGAAGTCTAATATCGCAGGAACTGCAATTTCCTCAATATTGCAAATTAAGTGGGGCCTTAATCATGAGTCTTATGATATTGGGTGTTTTTGTTAAAGCCTTAGTTCCCTTTGCAGAAATGGGAACCAGTGTCTAGCATTACGTAAAGAGACATTTAATTGCTATGATTGTCAAAATAGTTTTTTTTTATGAAGTCAGTAATCTTCATATTCACCTGGAAAGCTGGATAATCCATCTGACTCTCAGTCTAGTAAACTCAGATTTTTATCTTCAAAAAATATAGGTAAGAGACAGACAGAGTTTTCCCCCAGCATAAGAGCTGGGCATGCTACGTATTGCATTCTTGAGGCTTCCTTTCATTTGTGGTTCAGAAATCCTGTGGGAGGAGGACTTCTAAGATGCTCTTACCCTTTGACCACCATTAAGAACTTTGTGGTGGTGATCCTGGTCTTCAGTGAGTTCATACTCTGTTCCCCGTCAGTCTTTTACCCACTATGATAGTGCCGTGTGCTGCTAGGCTGTTTTTTTGATAGGGAATACACATGTCTTAATAAAGGAACCAATTCTTTAAGGCAGGAAGAAGCTTGCACTGCCATGCAAAGCTGAAGTGGTAGGTACCTGTCTGCAGGTCTCTGTTTCCACCAAATCCAGTAGCAGCTGATAAAAAACATAGGAAAACCTGATTTTTAAAAAAGAGGGAGAGCAGCACACACCGATAACCAGAGCACATGCTTAATAGTTATTAAATGTCTCTTTATTATGCCACCTGTAATGTTTATTATGACTACCGATACTGTTGTGATGGGTACAATATAAATACCTATACAGAATGACAGAAGGCTAAGAGTAATATCTATTCTAATCCTCCTAATGAATTGGTCAACTTCTGTGTTAAATTTCTGAGTTGATATCAATTACATATTACTATTAACTGCACTTTCATCACGGACTTGTGTCTGCACAGCAGACTTGCATGTGACTTGCAGCCCGGGTAGACATGCCCACGCTTGCTTTTATCTAGCTACTATGCTAAAAATAGCAGTAAAAAGGCATTGGCGCAGGCTTCAATATAGGCTGAACAAGCTCACCCAGGACCCTGGGTATGTACTCTCTGCTATTTCTAGCATGCTAGCTGGATTAAAGCTAGCACAGGTATGTCTATTCAGGTGGCAAATCATCACTTCCATTGCAGTGTGGACACAGTCGCAGTCAGTATACAATGAATTCACATTTTACACCTGCAGTTGTTCTTACTATTTTAAGGTAGGAATTGATTCTTGGGAGTATGTTTGATAATGCATTCATCCTACCAATCCATGACCAGGGCATTGGGTTCCAGCAAAGACCCACCATAGCTGCTATTCCAGCATATGTTCTGGAATAGAGCTTTCCGCCCTCAATGCACAGGGTAATGGGGGCATTGGATCCACTTACACACTCCTGTGTGGGAGCAGCACCCTTCCCTGCCCTTATGTGGGTGACAAACGCAGCATTTATTTGGCGCAGGGAATCTTGTGTAGACTCTTCACGTGGAGTGAATTCCATCCTATAGGTTAGTGAGGGGCTGCATTGGAGCCCCAGAGAGTCAAGCAAAGGTTCGTATTTTTCTTTGTACTGCCCAGTCCCATCCTATATTCCCTGAGGTCTCTCCTCTGAAGCTGCATAGAAACAGACTGTCAGAAGTACCATGGGACTTTCACTCAGCATTTCATTTGGGGTCAGCCTTCCCAACTTGCTGCCGGTTACAGGACTGTTTAATCTGCTGTGTACTTTCCCGGAGAAGTTGCCAGCTAGCCAGCCCTCCTCCCTTGAAGTCTGTCCGTAAGACACCCATGCCTTGACTGTTAAATAATAGGATGAGATGTGTGGCCCACTTCTTCCTGTTCCCGGTTAGTCCAAAACAAGCCCAGGGTGAAATGCTGAGAATTTAAGAGAATGGTTTTTAATTGTGACACAAGATTATGTAGAAATATAAAGGAGATGGAGATTGCAGGGCAAGCCTGGTTTATTTTGGACTCCGAGAGCAATATTGAAAAATAGAAATGAATTTGCTAAAATGAAAATCCACATGTGTTTAATGCATTACAATTTAGAAGTTTCTCCTTTCTTTCAGCAGAGAGATCCTTCTTCAAGATTGAGATCTTGCAGTGTAACAGATGCAGTTGCTGAACAGTCTCACTTATCACTGGTAAACCAAAGCTCATTTTTATTTCTTCTATGCTTTGTTTTAAATATTCTTTGGTTCTGAGTGGAACCTTTTCCTGTTACAATGGCTTCAGAATAGTTATACATAGGTGGTAGGAATATGACTGTACCAATCGGTAACTGATTCCAAATTAAGATCATGTTGCATAGGTCAACAAAGTAACACGGTTATACTTGTTTTACAAAAGATTAACTCAAGATGATTAAAGACAGTGGATGAAATCGTGGCCTCACTGAAGTCGATCAAAGTTTTACAATTGACTTTACTGGGGCCAGGATTTGAGCCCATGCATCTAGTTCTGTCCTCGTTTATATCTCTGCAATCTGGAGTTGCCTGTCGCAGAGGGAATTTGGCCCAGTGCTATTTTTTTGAAAAACAAATACACACATTTTGAAATAGACTTATGCCTGGGCTTACAGGTAGCTATATAATTAGAATTGGGGCAAAATTGGTGACATTTTTTATTAAATTTGAGAGGTGGGCGGAGGGTTGCTTTTTGTTTTTGTTTTTGTTTTTTTGGAGGGGGAGAATAGCGGTTGTTATACTTGAAAATTCATGGACTGTTTTGTGCATGGGTTTTTGTTTTTGTGTGTCAGTATTATTTAAAGCCATTCAAAATTTGCACAGAAGTGTTACCATAACCTTTTCTGGCCTGTGAAGAAACGTAACACAAAAAAGAAATAGGCACACACCCATAAAGGTGGTGGGAGCGGTGAGGAAATCAACACTTTTTGCAAATGTGAAAAAATTTGCAGCATATCGCAAGTCAGTTGCCAATTTAAATAAAAAGAAATTGACTAGTATTTCACCCAGCTTTAACAATCCCCTTTATGAAGGGCCATGTAAAACCAAAATCTAACAGTCCCAATAATTTTCTGACCAATATGATATAAGTTAACAAGTCAGGTTTTCCTAATATAGTAGCTAAGAAATTAACTGAATCCCTTTAAACAGGAAAAGGATCCACATCCCAAGATGGTTCTTAAACAGGAAAGGTAGCTTTGGGTTCTCTTTTACTCTATATTTATGTAGCACTTTACAGCTGATGTCCTCCAAGCTCTACATTTTTTTCCATAGAATTGGGCAAAGTGGTGGTGACACAGATAAAATGACCTATAATAAAATTGAAGTAGATCAGCATTTGACTATGGCTGGCCAGAATATTTCATAACGGATGACATTTCAACGAAAAAATAACAATATTTCCTGTAGAACTTTCTGCAGAAATCTTTTCCCCGTTTTTTTTTAACCAGAACTGTAAATATGGACATACGAATGAAATGGATCATTAGAACTTGCTTCTTCAGTAAATAACAAAATATGAATAATTGAAGGCTTATGTTGTCATTTTTTTTATTGTTAAATTGGTGTGATTCTGCCATTTTAAATTTTAAATTGGCTCATTTTTTTGATATAAATTTGTAGTTAAACAGTTGACATTTTTTTCCTGTTTTTATTAATTCACCATAAAGCTGGAGATTATCTAATGATTCTATAGATGTCATTATGAAATGGTGGCTTTGCAGTAATAGATGTTTCTGTGAGTGTTCAATGGAAATGTATGTAAAGTACTACTCAGCTACTTATTTACCCCCAGCATTAAAAATGTTATGGCTCTCAGCAAAAGCATACTTAAACTGTCTCTTCTCTCTACTATAAGTGATTGGCTTGTGCTGGAATCTGTACCCGCGAGCTTCTACTTTTTCAATATTTTTGATTCACTCCTGTCGTTTGTGGTTTGTGGGTTGTTTTAACTGGTGTATAAGGTTAGGCTTTGTTATGACTCTTCCTTCAGTTTATTGTTTTAAAATGTTTACTAAATGAAATTAGGTGCTCAAAACAGCAGTATAAAAAGCATTCCTTTAAAACTGGGACATACTTGATCTAACCAATCATCAATCTCTACTGAACTAACAGTCATTTTTCTTCTAGCAACTAAACCCTTACTTTATTTCTAATTAAGCTGTCTGTCCTGGAACATATTGCTCCTTACAGAAAACTTGGAACACCAATTTCTTTTATTATTATGATTCTGACTTTTCACAGGGCTGTGCACTCACTGCTGGCCAGAAAATTGCCTCTTCATTTCTAAATGTCTGCGCTTTATGCTTGTAGAGCTGAAGATGTAAAATTGTTTTTGTTTGGAAAAAGTAATTATTTAAACACCTTGCATTATAGCACTAGTGTATATAGAGAATCCTGCACCACAGCTATTAGACTAGTGCCTCAGTCTTTGAATTTATAAGTGATATGTTCATCTGGGTTATCAGTGATTGATGGCTTCATTTTCCTTGCTGCTGTCTTTTATTTAACATAACTTCAGTCTAATTGCTTTCCATTACAAAGTGTGAGAGAATGGCTATGATTCCTTATTCCTGAAGATGTGAGCATAATCTATTACCTTCATCACTAAACATACTTATCTGTAACATTAATTATCATTTAACAGCAGAGTGGTCCATCTAGGAGAGCTCGTTCTTCAACTGTCACAGGTGGTGAAGAACCAACGGTAATAATACTCTTTATCAAACACTTTCTGTAAATTAAATATGGGCTGGGTTTAGCATCTTTTATGACACTGGACATTTTTTTCACACAGCAGCAGTGTATTGGTCTAAACTTTTCGGAAACCATAGCTAAGTTTTAACGTTTGTTTTTCACCTTTTACACTGCAAAAATTATTTCAAGAATACGATAATATCACAGTAATATTAGCATACAATAAAGATATGGTTATAATGCAATTGATTTTTAAACAGAATGACACTCTTAGTAAATATCATTGACTAGTGCTCAAAAATTAAAAGATGTAGCACTTCATTTTTAAATGCAATACTAATTGCAATGTAGATTATACAAACAGACCCTTTAAAATATAGCACTTACCATTTGCACTGACTTAACACTAGACTAATTCAGTTTTATTCTTAGGCCTGGATCCTGCTTTGAGAACCATGCAGGCAGAGGGGTTTACCCATGTAATTCTCAATGTAGTTAGTATATGGTCTTTGTTTACTACCAAGTTTTACTTTCCTGTTGTCATTAACTAGCCCAGTGCTGGATATTTGACTCTGAATGGTTCAAGAAAATATTTTACAGTGTTTAAATTGGAAGTTTTATATCCTGAAACCATTTTTCATAATACATTGTCGTTTGTGAAGCTATCCCATACACTTACAATCTGATTAAATGTGAATCTAAAGCAAGTGGATTGTCCAATAATAAATATATTCAGCTTTTATAAATATATATGTGCACCAATGAAAACCATTTTATTTTATTTTATTTTTTGTTGTTGTGGAAGTAGCATGAGGCCCTAATTCAAGGATCAAGGCACCGTTGTGTTAGGCACTGTATAGGTTCTTTATTGAACTTTAAGGAAACGTACCTTGTACCTTGAATTAAGTGTCAATACCTTTCATAAACACGGAAATGCCTTTGATATCTGTGGAAAAACTGATTAATAGCCACATGAAGCAGGCAAAATGTTCTGTATTGATTTCTAATGCAATGTTGGCAGATAGTTCCATTAATTACACACACGTTTTGTACAATTTTATATTCCTCTACTAAAAACTGAATTCAGATTAGAGCTACTCTATGCATGCCTGGTCAGTAACGCCACTGTATTCCAAAATAGGCATACGGTGTTGCTGTGATAGCTAAATATATTGGTGCATAGTACAAGGAAATTCTTGTTGAATTTTTACATTCATATTGATTTGGCATTTACCATACCAATGTAGACCTTCAGTGTTTAGATAGCACGTAGAAATTAATGCACAAAATATTAATGTGCAGTGTAATGATACGAGATCTGTCTATTGTATTGCAGGGGGCCTTCTTTTTCACTTAAGTCAATTACAGACGATGAGCAAAATTTGATACATGATTATGTAAAGTGGGTGCTTCTTTGAATGTGTGTTGATGTATATTTGTGTGTGTGTAAATACATAATGTTTTTTAATTGGATTGCTTTTAAGAGCTTTATTGAAAGCTTCAGAGGAAACTGAATACTTTGCCTTGAAATGTTTTACGGTAAAACTAGACTGGACAAAGCACTAGTTATCACAAATGGCAGGAGGATAATCAAGATAACTTGAATAAGTGTATCCCATCTCTGATTTATCTTATCAAAGGAAACCAGTAAAGAAAATTCAGTTTACCTCTGAGAATGCATAAAGTACTGGTAAAGAGAATTGAAAGTTCTAATTTAATGTGTTTTAAATGAATTGCCTCTGAGTCTCTATTTTGGTTTGCAAAGCTCAGTTCATATTACAAAGGAATGCTGCCAGTAACTGGATTCAGTTTATAAGGAGTGAGGAGACAATAAAAAGGAAGAGACATGTTGCCATGTGATCTTTAATGGTTCCACCTCTAGTGACTCTTTCCTTTGTGACTCTGTCCTCATAGCTCCCTTCTAAATCAAACCTGCTGTTGGCAATATTCACTAACGGACTTAAAACATCCTTTTGGTTTTGTGTTGAATACAATGTATGTGATTAAAATCAAGTGATTTAAAAACTTCCTTGAAAGCCTCTCAGGTAGCCACTTTAAAAAAAAAAAAATGCATACTGTTGAGAATTTCCATAGCCTCTCACTACAGTGAATGCATGGATTTGTATACAGTATCTGCAACCCTAGAACAGATGAACTCCTCACCTGTTGGCTGAGAGTCTTGTGATCTAAACCACTTTTATTCTGACAAGCTAATCAATAGCTAAAACACCCCAAATCATGACCATTTAGGAAGTGACTGAATCAGGGTTTCGAGCTGCCTCAGCCAAATTTGTTTAGCTAATTCCTCTTCTCCTCCCCTTCTATTTCCTCCCTTCTTAACTAGATGGTCAACTTTCTACCCATTTTTACCTTTCCTGGACTCCTGATTTCTTCTTTGAACCATGTAGGCTGTTTTTCAGCTCAACCACATGAAGCATGTGCCCTTAAATGAGAGAATTCTCTTAGCACTGGCTACTGTAATAGTTCAAAGAAGAGTTCTGGAACTGATAGGGAATCTGATCAGAGGGTAGAGCAGATGAAAGAGCTACTGAATAATATGTTGCTGGAGCTTTAAATAAGGAAAACTAATGCACCTTGGATTTCAACAGGGATCTGTGGGTGACAGAGCGAGACTGTGACCCACAGTGCATTGTCATCCACTTTTTCAGTCTCTGGGACAATCATTTTCCGCTGTCCTCAACTTGCTTTACAATATTTATTTTATAACAGGGTGAATGTACAACACAAGTTGCTGTTTATAAGGCTACACAAAAAAGAGGATGTTAGATTGCAGTGTAATCATGATGGTGAATCAGGCCTGAGAGGTTTGTGATGTTACTGAACACACAGGTATCTGTATAGCTATGTAGCCTTACTTCAGGCCTCATGCAGAATATGCTCCATGTGCAGAATCTGTAGAGCATCAGCCTTAAATTCTTTGGTGGGTGTTTTATCAAAAGTAACTGGAAATTTAGATGCCACAATATTTTTAACAAGAAAAATAAACTTTTATTAAAATCCCTCATGCCTGCATACAATATTCTGTCAGTAATACAAGAAAAAACAAGTGGGAAACTTTAAACCTGTTAGATTTCAAGGTGGTTATGAACAGAGTGATTGAAGCAGGGGGATAGCAGTGATTGTGAAATTAAATGTAATCTGCCATGTATCATGCAGTTGACTTAATTTGTTTGCCTCCTTCCATCCTCAGTAGGTATAAATGATTTAAATTGTTTCTAGGGTTTTCTTATACTTTCAGCCACATTGTTGTGAATGACTTTCATACCTGGTAATGGGATTTTTTTTTCTCTTTAAATTGAACATAAATACTGTAGTGTTCTATAGATAAGAATCCAGTAATGATATTTCTTGTAAGACATTTACATTTCCATCATTTAAGCAATTACTCCATGTGTTTTTCTAACAGTGAAACCTCATGATTTCTGCTGCATTAAGCTGCTTCCATGATACACCCTACTAATACCTCTTCGTTACAGTTTTCCAGTTATCATGTTTGGCATTTTAGTTTTGAAATACTGTTTACTGTGTCAGTTTTATGTGGAAAGTTGAAGATTTTTAAAATACCATAACAGATAATAATATTCAATAAAGTCAGAGTTACACAAAAAGCATGTCCACCATATAAGGGAAATTAAATGTTATATGAAGGTATAAAATGCAAAATATATTTTGTAAGATTCACATACAGATAACGAGGACTGAATTAGAACAGAGGGGATACATGTTTTCTGAATTTCCAGAAGAGTGATGCACGTGAGCTCCTGAATGTTCCTCAGTTTTAACCAGTGGGGGAACAATTCACCAGTTTTGTAGGATAAGAATAACACTTTATGATGGTGGTGAATTTTTAAACTAAATACAGCAAGCAGCAGTTAATATTAACATGTTGGTTTGCCTCCAGTTAAGAATTATCTTACCCCTTCCTCTGTGCAGGTGGTAGTCTTTTGTCAGACTTAATCAGGTGGAATACTTTCGAAAAATAGAATATCTGTGTCTGCCTAAAAAGAATTAGGTTCCACCTGTCCTAAGATGCTCAGTAATTTTCAGGCTAATTTATTCAAAAAAATTGGTTGGCTTTATTTATAGATCTGTCTTGAAAAAGTCTTCAAAGGGCTACTCATCATGTTGCTCATGTACATTACCTCTCTCTTATATTCAGACTTCTTCCCTTTTTACGAGAGCTAAATATTTATAGAACCTCCTGGATAGTTCTTCGTTGTCATCGACTACATGACAGCATATACTCTCAGCCTCTTCTCCAGACTGTGATATCTTTGCAAGATCAAGCCCCTGATACGTAGATCTTGAAAAAGTACCGACAGTCCTCAATTCCCACTGACCTCAGTGGGAATTTAAAGCTTCTCCGCACCGCACAGGAGTGTCCAGTACCTTGCAGAATTGAGCCTCATTTGAACTGTTAGGATTTAAAACTCATGGACAACATATGCCTCCTGATACTTGGAGGGGCACAATGTAAAGGGGGGGACATCTGACCGCCCCATGTATTGCTACTGGGAGGGACTTTCAGCCCCACCTTCCTGGGCCAGGGCAGCCAATCCCGCCAGCTCCTGGGGGGCTGGGGCCACATGAGCAGGGAGCACATGCCTTTGGGCATGGCTGGGGCCAGCCCCGGCCCAGGGAGACTCACAGCAGCAGTGTCTTCCCAGAGCTCGTGGACATCTCAGCAGGGGCGGCATGAGCAATGCCCCTACCTCTGGCAGAGACCAGGGAACCTGCTCCCGGCACCTTCCCCAGCAGCCCTGCACCCAGCCCAGGGACTGCCGTGCTCTCCCCGCCCCACCAGAGTTACCTGTGGGGCGGATGGGGGCTCTGCCCCCTTTTCCCCCCACCCCCCCAGCACGGTTTCTGGCTCACTTGGCTGCTCTTCCTGGCAGCCGGGTCCAGGTGGGGAGAGGAGGCGGCGGGAAGGAGCCACTTCTCCCGCTGGCTGAGGGTGGCCGCTCCGGGTCGCTGCCTGTGTGCAGCACGGCAGCTGTCTGAGAGAGAGTCCGCCTGGGGAGGTGGCAGCCCCACCCCCTCCACTCCCTGCCAAAGCCTGGCTGCCAGGGATGGGGGGGCCGACGGAGATGGAAACATGACGGCAGGGGGCTCCGGGTTCTCACAGGCAGCCGCTGTGCTGCACAGAGCAGCAACCTGGAGCAGCCACCCTCAGCTGACATGAGAAGAAGCTCAATCTCGCCCCTTCCGCTCTCCGCTTGGGCCCAGCTGCCAGGGACAGTGGCTGAATGTGCCAGGGGGCAGGCGCAATGGGAGAGGGACAGAGCCCCGTCCTTCCCCTCCCTCCCCCCCGGCAGGCTGAGCAGAAATCTGGGGGGGCACTTGACCCTGCATGTTGCCTATATGCCCACAAAACATGCTGTTGGTACATCCTTGCTTACTGATACCTGAGATCAGGCATTGGTATAAGAAATACTCCCTGGTACTGAGGTATCTGTATATGAAAAGTAGTTCAGTGCAGAATTTCAGAGGCTCTGTCCCTTTGCTTCCTTAGCTTCCTGACGTGCTAAAGGACACCATGTTCCTCTCCTCAGTTTTCGCATGATAACACTCACCTCTGATCTCCACCATTATTTCTTGCTATTGGCAAAAGCATCAGAACGAGAACTGGCAGTAATGTAAATGGAATCTCAGTAGTTAAAGAAACTGCTGCTTTTTACACAATAAGTAAGGAAGATTGCACACTGAGAACCAGCAGAAAATCCTTCCCCCCTACAATACTTTAGTCCTCATGTTTTCTTGCTCCTTTCTTTAGTTGCGTACTTTTTCCATGGCTTACTTGAAAGCGCAACATCACCCCCTATGCTGATAAGCAAAGATGAGACCTTTCTAGTCTGATTTCTGTCTAAATATGGAGCAAGAGCATGACGAGCTTGTCAAATCTGTTCTTTCCCTTTTTACTTAACATCTGAAAAGAATGTCAAAGATGTAAGAAATGTTCCATCTGCAAAGTGTATATGGACCTTTGACTTGTGTGCTGGGTAATTGCCTTAAATGTCTGGCTTCATTGCACAGTGTAAATGAGCATTGGAGGACTCTCTCCTCTAGAATAAAGGGCAACTGAGCGTATGCATGGGTTTTTCAGCCTACTTCAATTATATGCAGCAACTGCAGGTTGTCAGACAGTGGCAAGACTTTACCATCCCTTTCTTCTGTTCATGTTTTTGTTTTGGTGTTTTAATGTGGCTTCTTTTAGAAACAGGCTTGTCTCGTCATCTTCTCTTATCCAAACAGGCTTAAAAGAGCTCTTAAATTTCCCCTTGCGTGCAGCAGACAGGGTTCCCCCTCCCCCACACACAGTGTTAAAACTGGCACCGTGGCTATGTGGAGCTTGGACACGAGCATAGACTCTTTCTCTGGCTCAGCTGTCAGCCCCATTTCTTCCAAGTCCAGCTACTGGCACTTGTTAGAACATCAACACTACTACACTCAATGTGAAACTCACAGGCTATGAACAGACTAAGTTTAACTGCTTAAATACGGGCATTCTCCCTAGCCTCCTTGCTCTGCTTCCACGTCCAATAAAATGCTGGCACAGCTGGTCTGCCTTAACATCAGTATTTTTATTTTGACTTCTGTGAGGGGAAGTAATTTGTCCTTTCATATCTATAAGATAATTCCACATCTATTGTTGCAGTCCACACAAGGAAAGCCATTATAAAAAGCAGATTACTGTAAGAAGGGGCCTCAGTACACTTTCTTATAGCTAGAAAGCTGCCTACTTCTAAGGGGATTAGTGGTACTGATGCTAAAATAAAGCATTACATAGAAACTGACAAGACATTTAAGCTCAGGCACTTGCTTTCTCTTTCCGGATCTTCTGATAGAGACATTTGGTTTCATCATTCTCCCGCCAATCAAAACTTTGTCATAAGAAAGAAGAAACTCCAGAATTTAAAGATTCTCTCAATAGTCTAGGGTTATTGAAAGGCTACTGCTGACTCCCTGCATGTTCTTCAGGTCTCTCACCACATACCTTTGGATTAATTAGAGGCCAGAATCTTGTCCTACAAAATGTAAAAGGCCTTTTCAGCAGAAAGGTCTCCTGAAAATAATTAACCCAGTGAACAGGATACAAATTTACTAAGGGCCAGATGCTCATTGGAATTACACCAGTTTACACCAGCTAAGTATCAACCTGTGACGGGACGCACCCTCACCACTTGTCTGGCGCCTCCTCCTGGTCACTCTTGGGATTAGCTCTCGAGGCTGGTCTTGCTTGCACCACCATTATCTGTATGTTAACACATTTTAGAGCCATGTCCTCCTTTTCCATTGCTTGCTAATATGCCCCCTATACTAAGGGAGTTGGGGAAGACAGTGGAAGAAATGCCTTTTCCCATACTGATGACACACATGTCACTTTGTATTTTGGGGAGAAGTTGCAGGAGGGCAGGACTATGGCTTTATCTTTAAGGTGGATACTGAGTCTCAAAAAATTTGAGCAGGGATTCCAGCCCTGAATCTATTTGCATTCTTTCTTAGCACTTACAAACTGTTGCCTGAACAATAACGAATTAATCTATACTACACCCTATGAGGTAGGTTATTTATTCCCTCCATTTTACAGTGGTGGAAACTGAGAGGGGTTGTGATTGACCTAAGGCTGCTTACCCAGTCCATGGGAGACCCCAAGTGAGAATTCTTGACTTTTCCTTTAGGCTACGTGGCCTCTCTAGCAGTGACTCACGTATATCAACTTTAGTGAATAAATACTACCTCTAACAAGGGGAAAACTTTTTTATAAAAGTGAAAGCAGTTCCTATCATAATGTGTAGTCTCCTGTTTCTTTTGTAGCTCCTTTAGTTTCACGACGTGGAAGCTGAGCTGTTTTCTGAACAAAGTGCCTGTAGCTATGCAAATGTGAACCAGAAGACCTGCGTGTGGAAGGGAGGAGGGTGTTGGGTCAGATATATGAAAATGAGAGCCTGTGTTAGAGAGAAATTTGAAGAAATGCATTTCAAAATTTTCCACTGTATTTGATTGTAAGAATTGCATACGTAGACTTCTTCTGAAGATAATTCATTTTTTTCAAGCTACCACAAAATAATGATACACAATTTTTTTGCATAAACAGCCATCAGTGGCCTACGTACATACTACACCAGGCTTACCTTCAGGCTGGGAAGAAAGAAAAGATGCTAAGGGACGTACATATTATGTCAATCATAACAATCGAACCACAACTTGGACTCGGCCCATTATGCAGGTATGGAGTTTGCTGTTGAAATTAAACAATACAACAGAATGCTTAAAATGTGTTGGGTCTCCATTTGAAAAGCTGTTTTAAGGTTCTTAAACAGAAACAGTCTATGCAGTGCAAAGGCTATTTAGAATAAAGTTATTACATTTAACCAGGAAGATTTATGGTGATTAAGATTATTTTTGCTAAATATCTGTTAGGACCAGAATAAAGATATAAATTGAGTTTATAACTGCAGTGGTGAGAAATGAGAGAAAGAGAGAGAGTAAATATATTCAGAGACAAATTTTATAATCAAATTTAAAATGAGGATTTTAATCTGTGTACTAATAAAGCCATTTATAGTAGTTTTTCTTGCCTAAGCAGTTGTTCATTATTTAAAGCATGAATCATTTTTAATTCCATTGAACGTGCTCTTTGAAATAATATATTTAAAGCTTATTTAGAAAAGGATTAACAGAGTATTGATGGCTTTTTTTTTAAACAGCCTAACGGCAGATAAACTAACACTTAGCTAACTTGTTCTTGCCCCTGAAATAGCTTGCAGAAGATGGTGCAGTTGGATCAGCAGCAAACAGTAACAACCATCTAAGTGAGCCTCAGATAAGGCGGCCTCGTAGCCTCAGCTCACCCACAGTAACTTTATCTGCTCCACTTGAGGTAAGAAGTCCTGTCTCATGTGACAAAGATCACTTCTGTCCTGACTTCTCATTCTTTCTGTTGTGGTTTATGACCTTTTATTTTCATTCCAATTTTGCAGCCAACGCATTCTTCTCTCCTGATCTGTTAGCTTTGCTTCTTGATGATGATATTTTCTTTTGAAGTTTTTTTCACATACATCTTCACTTTGTACAGTAACACTGCCTAATTCTTCTTACTCAACTCTCACACTCCTTGCGTGGCATGGGGAATATTCTTTCTCCTTTGCTATCATTAGTTTGTTTCATTTGTGTGTGCATATCCTGTAGTACATGCATTACCGTAACTTCTTGCTGCAAAAGCATCAAATTAGAAATATTCTCAAAAGCTGAAACATTTATTTTGAAAGGCAAGTGCAATAAACTGTAAATAAAGGCTGTGTCGCTTGAGTTTGGAAAGTCGTGGTTGAAGTAAGGACATCTCAAAGCTTTTGATTTTGTATTTCATTCTTTTCAGCAGGATATTTTTATTTCCTTTTAGTGCTTTGGAAGATATCTCCTGGATTTAGTGACAGACTTAGCTGTCAGCTTTCTTCATTGGAAAAAGTTCTCCTGAATGGTTTTTGTGGACTATGACACAAGTAAAGGCATCAGGCTAAACTTTTCAAGTCTACATGCCTAAAGTTCAGGTTCTAAATCCATATTAAAACAACTACAAATAAGTGCCTGATTTTCAAAGGTCTGAAATGCCCATTGACTTCAGTGGGATTTGTGGGTACTCAGCACTTCTGAAAAAAGGCCATATATATATTTAGGACCATAATTTTAGGCAACCAAATCTTAAAATTTGTCAATTATTTATTCTGTAAATGTATTCCTCTAATAATAATTTGCAGTTTACGATCCTTGAACATCACTGTTCTTGCCTGAGAACTTCTGGATAATAAACTGAAGTACACTAGTATGTAAGATTAGTAAGTAAGACACTGATCATTCCAAGTGATGCACCTGCATAAATGTTTTTGCTGGAATGGAATTCCACTGGACCCAGAGCAGGTGAATCTCCTTGTAGAAGTGGCATCTGAAATATGCAAAAATATTCTTGACTACTGCAGAATAGATACTTAAATTTGAAAGTGGAACCAAACTTACCAGAATGGTAGTTTTTAATCCATACCTGTATTATGAATGATGTAGAAAAACTAATTTGTATACTCAATAGTGAAATCAAAGATTTATAAGTATATGAATTAGAAATTGCATAAGATAATAGAGGTAAATGTAAAAATATTTGATTACAAATCATGCTTCAGAATCTACCTATTTGTTCCATTTACTGATCTGTAAATATATAGTTAAAAATATAATCAGTGTTACTCAGCAAGGCAATAAACAAAGTTAAAACTAGGCGGTTACTGTATTGGGTAATGGGTAAAACTTTCAAAAGTGCCCAGGTCCCATTTTCAGAAGTGTCTTGATTTCACTGGGAGTTAAATGCGTATGCACTTTTGAAAATCCTACTAGGTGCCTATCTCCATCTTTAGGTGTCTAAATACCTTTAGAAGTCTGGCTGTTAGGTTTTGTAGTCTCATTGAAAGTCAATGAAATTGCGACACTTTTGAAATTGTTATCCACTATCTGTAGTTAGAAACTGGTCTGAATAGTTTGAACCTCCCTTTATTTTAGGAACTTACTTAATGCCTATTTTAAACATTTTGGTTGGTGAAATCAGTTCCTAATTGATGAAAAATGCATTTGAAGTATCTTACACTGCCTTCTATTCATCTGTACTTTTTTGCTTTAAAATGTTTGTCACGTACAGTGCCATGCAAACAGCAAATCAGTGCCTGTATTTTTCTATATAAAATTGTTTTTTGTTATTTATAAAGAGGCAGTAGAAAAAGGTATCTAAGATCTGAGCTACAATAGCCCTGGGAGAGGAAAGTGATAAAACACCAGGACCTTTGCAATGAAAGCGTATTATGTAACAAGGTGCAGCCAATTTTAAAATAAATTAGTGACTGAGATGGTGATATCCCTTGTTCCTGTACATTGTATCCCCATTGAAAATGTGTTCAGCTCATGATACCAAGTGTTGTTCATAATATAATATAAAGTGAGATTTGTGGAGTCTTAATGTTGCTCATTTCCCACAGTTTGCCAAGGACTCTCCTGTGCGCAGAGCTGTCAAGGACACCCTTTCCAATCCACAGTCTCCACAGCCGTCACCCTATAATTCTCCTAAGCCCCAACACAAAGTGACACAGAGCTTCTTGCCACCTGGTTGGGAGATGAGAATAGCTCCAAATGGCAGGCCCTTCTTCATTGATCATAATACTAAGACTACCACATGGGTAAGATAAATTCTAGCTTATAAAATTTTAAATCTGTTGGTGTTTTCTGGATATTTTTACCTTGTTATTTTTGTCTTCCCTCCTGTATACCTTCCTTGCTGTTGTTCCGTGAACTTATGTCTTGTCTTTAGCACAATTGGGATACGAATGTGATTGCGGCCTGTGGGCACTGCTGTAATACAAAGGTTTAAGAGTCACACACCTAACAAATGAACATCCTGAAGTGGCTGTTGTAGTACCTAGTCCTGCTGTTAGAGGATTTACACATCTTTTTCTAGTACGTCTTTGCCTTTTATATACTGTGCTATACACTGTATATTTGACAAACCGGTGGACATGACTATCATTTTGAACAAAGATATTTTACTTAGGCTTACATTTTAAAATCCCGAACAAGATTTAGAACACTCCAGAGTTTGAATCTAGAGTGTTGTCTTAGCCCATTCTAAAGCTACTGTCCATTTGCAAAATTTGAGTGAGTTTGGCAAAGGCACACATTCTTCATAAGTGTCTTGGATCCACTGCTTAGGTTTGAGGCTCTCTCGTAATTTTAATAAATTTCAATATCCCTTTCACTGCTCTCGCATTAAAATGATCATCATAAATGTTCTTCGGTCATCACGAATGTACTATGTTATCTGCCTTGCATCAGTATACTGCATTTTTCTTTAATTTTTTTATTGCATACTATGTTAAAAAAGAAAATATGAGAAGCTAAACTATTTTTTTTAAAAGTTAATGGGGAATCAGGGGACTCAACTGCCCTTTTTCTTTTTGCTTTGTGAGAATAATGTTCTCGGCAGTTCACTATCCTTAATTTATCTGGTTATGTGTATACATTGCATACTTCTTGGACCTATGCATGATATATACTGTCTGCTGCAGAATTTAGGCATCCTTAAGGACAGGGTATCAGCCTGGAATTTTAACTTTGATTTTCCTTGCCTAATTCTGTTAGCTGGATCCTTGATTTTGCTTCAGTGTAGGTCTTTGTGGTTCATTGTAAATTTTGTTCTCAGAATAATGTTTTCTTTACCCGAGGATGACTTCGTGAGTTTTGGATTGGGAGTTAGCTGGATCCCTTGTAGCCATGTTTCTTAGACTGATGTTTGTTGCTGTCGGAACACATCATTATCGCTCTCTACTCTAGAAGCACATTGGATTATACAGTCACCCATTTTTATTATAGTGTTATTGTTCAAAATATTTACACTTAATGGTCTACTTCGTTTTCATACTTACAACTTGACTCATAGTTGTGTGTACTGACTCAGCTGGGACACACATATTTTTCCCCTTTAAAAACACTCGCTATTTGAATTACATAAAACGGCTTTGAGATACTTATATTTGTGCACGTAGAAGTCAAAAAATCAGTTTCTGCTTAAACAATAGAAATTTAGGAATATGTTTGTATCAACATATTAATACCTGGGAGAGATTTTCAAAGGCACAAATGGCAGGTGCCCAGTTCCCATTCATTTTCATTGGGAGTTGGGCACCTAACTCCATTTGTGCTTTTAAAAATTCCTCCATAATCATTATAGAACTCTAATCTCAGATCCAGGAACTGTCTGTACATTGTCCTGTGCTCTCATTAGCACTTACACCTAATTCACCAAAGTGCTTAAGGGTGTTTTTAATTCCCATTGACTTCAGTAAGACTTAAGCACAGATTAAAATTAGTCTTGTATTTAAGTGCTTTGCTGAATAAGAATATGATTGATTATTCACATGGTTAAGTGCTTTTGTGAATCATAGCCCTAATAAATAATAATAATAATGTCTAATATCTTATTGTTCTGGGAAATACATAAATGGCTGATATGTCATCCTGAGGTTTAAAAATAGTTCTAATATGATGCCTGATGTTGAATAGGAAGGTACTTTAAAAAAATTATACCAGTTCTCCATATGTCAGAGTGATTACTGTGGGTATGTCTACATTGCAAAAAAAAAAAAAAAAAAAACCCCAACCCATAAACCTGTGGCAGCAAGTCTCAGACTCAGGTCAACTGATTCAGGCTCAAGCTATAAGGCAAAAGTAGGAGTATGGATGTTCCCGCTGGGGCTGAGAGACCCACGCCTCTCACTAGGTTTCAGAGTCTGAGCGCCAGCCTCAACGGGAACATCCACACTGCTATTGTTAGTCCTGTAGCACGAGTCCAAGTCCGTTGACCAGAGCTTTGGGACTCAGTGCCACGGGGTTTTTGCAGTGTAGTCAGACCCTGAATTAACTGTCTCTGTTTATAAATATTGTCTAATTATTTGTTGGTCTATAATGTCTTCAGAGGTTCAGCAAATTAATTTTAAAGTTAACAATTACGTATTTACAAAATAAATTAGCACAATGTCAATTTATTTTGGCAATCATTTTTTTTTTAAATAATTTTCCTTTTTAATGGAATTTAACATTCAAAGAAAACTCAAGTAAAACTACATTATGTGGGCCAGCATTCAAGCCTTAATGCAAAGGTTTTAGTTATATGCAACAATATGAATTAAGAATCCATCAGTTTTTAGCCTTAGATCTGAATTTGCTAACTTTTGTCGTTTTAATTAGTTACACTATATGTCACTGACAAAGGGTCTATGTGATTTAATTCTAACACTTGTACTGTTTCATCGTGACTTCAAATCCTCATATTGAATTTGGAACTCTAGAAATAGAGGGTGAATGTGAAAAAATGGAATGGATTAGCATATGGAGCCACTGTGCCTTGTCAGTCCAAGCTATGACTTTAGTAATTTGAGCTAGCTTAGTAATGAAATACTCTAGCTTTTCCACATCATCACTGCAGTGTAATTGCTGCTGGTTGGATTTAATTTTAAATACCATGCACTTTTATTTGTTATATGTCATGCTGATGCCAAGTAATCACTATCCACATTAGAAGCCTCTAATGATGGCTGTTAGTTTTAATGCTGCAGTATTTGGGTAAAGCCAGGTAAGCCCAAATATTTTTGTATCTTTGTTTTCCATGGGCTTTTGTTTTATTTAGATTGTTGCTTATGGTATTTTATTTGTACTGTTTGGATCCGGGCAGCCATTAATTTAATGTCTGTACAGTGATACAAACATAAGAAGCTCTTCTTCCTCTTCCTCTTTTTTCCAAAATAAGTGAGAGAGATGGCCTTCTCCTGCCTGATCTGTTAGTTTTTCTCTCTAAATTTATAAAAACCAGAAAGATGCCTATTTTGCTCGAAACCCCCCATTAGTTATTTAAATTATAATTGGTTATAGACAGAGAGAATCCAGCAGTAGTCCCACATGATACAACAAACACAAAATAAACCATACAGTGCAGAAAACAGAAATACTCCACCCTTCCTAAACATCAACTGCCAAGCAGTATCTCCCTCCCTAAAAGCTAGTGTAAAAAAGATGAGCCTTTCTTTTTGTCTCCTTAACATCAATAGATTCAGGCTGTCTCAAACAATGCAGAGGGTACATTCCAAAGGATAAGGGCCTTCTTGTAGAATGCCCTGCTCCCAGAAGACTTCGTACACATCCAGAAAATGAAATACCGAGGGGGGAAGAGATCCTGCATCATCATGGCTCCCTTTGCCATTAAAAATGCCATTGGAAAAACACAAACCTGAATACAATACTTGAAACCCACACAAATATTAGAAACTATAAATCTTAACATGGACAAACTGCTTTCCCGGCTTCTTGCTAATTGATGAGCATTCCTGGACCCGGTTAGCTGTGCTGTAAAGTGATGATTATTTTAAAAATGGAATTCTGTACCAAGAACTAAGACACTACAAGTTAGCGTGTTTACAAATTCAGTAAATAGGGACCTGTGACACCATTGTGGTGTGCATCTGGAATAAAGAATTGAAGCTGGTTTCATCATGAAATGGCAAACGGTGAGGTTAAGGTTGTATTTTGCCTGGGGAAAGAAGGCACTATAGAAAGATATGTTTTTCCTTCTCTTTCCTGGTTTTTAAATAATGCAGAACTGAACAGCTATTATTCTGTTAGCAACTGAAAGAAAAAATACTACAATGAGAAAAAAATTGAGATGAAAAGAAAATATACTCCCAAACCTGGGCTTCGACATGATTTGCAAATATGTACCAATTAAAAAATAATATGAAAAACTCTAGGCCAAAATTGTCACCTCCTTCTACTAGAAAATGTTCTGATGCCATAGTTATGAATACAGTGTAAAAGCTGAGACGCACACAGTTTTCTTAGATTTGAGGTGGCCAAGTACAAAACTTTTAAAAAGGAATGTACCATAGGGCTGACCATCTCTTGCCTTCAAAAACAAAACAAAACCCTTCTTCCATTTTTGTATGAGTATGTACATTATATGGACTTTGACTTGCTTTCATATGCTTGCTATGTAGCAAGCTGACAAAATCAAGAATGGACAACAATGACAAATGGAGACAAGGTGTAGAATCCCAAACACATTGTGAATCCCTTTCTGATTTATTGTATGTAACTCTCATAGCTGCGTGACGGTTTGCACTTTGGCAGTGCTTGCATGGCAACTTGTCATGCTATAAAAGTACTATTGGATTGAATATTGACTTACTAATGGTGACAAAGCATTCACATAAAGTATTGCCATACAATGTATAATATCTCTTAATACAACTGAGAGTCCGTTCATTTAAAGCAATTAGGTGCCTCATTTTATTACATGGAATACTAGCTCTGCAGTTTGGTTTGACTGTCTTTTATAAGCTGATAGAAATATCTTATAATAGAGAATTTCCACACAACTATTGTTACCTGTTTTGCGTCCTGAAAACTAATAAATAGTGAACTGGCTCTGATCTAACTGGCCATATTATAACTGTAAATAAGAAGCATCTTTGTGGTTTAAATTTTTATGGATTACAGTGCTGTACTTATGTTACAGGAAGATCCACGGCTGAAATTTCCAGTGCATTTGAGATCAAAAGCTTCTTTGAACCCTAATGATTTGGGCCCTCTTCCTGTGAGTGTCAATTTGACATATTTTACTATATGCATAAAGACCTCTTTTGAGAATGAATGTATACTACTTTCCGCATATACTGTATGTGAATCTGTGTATTGTGTATAACATTGTGATCTGAGTAATGTGACAGGAATACACTTGCCGGAGCCTGCTAATAACATTTTTGAAGTGGTCAACCACTTATTAGCTTAGCTAAAAGTTCAAGGAATGCAGAAGCTTTCTCCGTGTCTTTATCATTGGCTGTGTGACATGGATGGTTGAAAGTTGTTGCTATGAAAACTAAAACAGTATACAAGCTTGAATCAGTGGTGGGCGGGGTGTAAGGAAGGGCACATCCTATAATCAAAGAACATTTCTAAATTAGTTCTGTCAGCTTGCAGATCTCTTTGCCTGTGTTGTTTTATTGGCATTCACAAATCTAACTTAATATTTTGTTATCTCTTGGAGAAGCAGTAGGTGGTGTGCAGTAGGGTTTAATTTAGCTTTTGAATGACACTTCTACATTCCACATAGAAAACTGCCACTGTGATGCAAATGCTGCTTGGGATTATATTAGTAACCAAAGTACACTGTTGCTTTGCTTCATAATCAAAGTAAATTATAGAGCCTTTCTATCTTGATCAAAAGCTTTGCTCTGAAAGGCAGAAAGTAATATCTGAACATTTTGGATTTCTTCGTGTGCTTCTGATTCAGTGCCTGACGTCAGTAGTGCTCATTGGTCTTGTCTACACTATGAGGAAGATACTAGCAACACTGGAAACATTAGTGTAGGCAGGCCACTGGTTCCACCAACACTCTCAGCATCTAATCCTGCTGGGAAGAAGTCTAACTGGCCCTGTCTTGACTACCAAAAAGATATTTTTGAAATCCAGTTAGGTAATTTGTTAGTTACCTTGATTTGAAATACCAATTAGCACCTAGTGTAGGCACAGTTTAACACCTTTACAATAATTTGTTAGCTGGTAACAACACAAGACTAAAGCAGTTTTAAAGGGAAAATAGCTGTGCAGGAGGCTGTTTTATTGGCATTTTTCTCATATAAATTGGGCATGCAGTTATGTCCAGAGAGGCCTTGTTTACATGCCGAGTTGCACTGGTTTAACTAAGGTGTGATTTTTATATTGATTCATTTTAAACAGAGCAAAAGGCTGTCTGAACATTCTTAAATCAATATAAACCTGGCTTATATCATTTAGTGCAAGTTGATCAGAAAAGGGTTTAAGGTAAACTGAAACAAGTCATTTTTCAACCAAATGAGTGTGCGTTTGCATAGGTTTTTGCACCAGTTTAACTAAACCTGTTTAAACTATTTTAATTTCAATCTGCTTTTAATCTTTGTGTTGTAGACAAGGCTGAAGATGATGTAGAAGGTACATCATGGAGTAGGAGTAGGTTTAGGGGTAGTACATGGAGTAGATAGTGGTTTTGAATGGTGCTGGTGTACTAAAAGTCTTCTGCTTCTAATGGTGGGAGGATAGGAACATAAGGATTGTCATACTGGATCAGACACATGGAACTTCTAGTCCAGGGTCCTGTTTCTGACATTGGCCAGCACATTGTGATTTAAAAAGAGGTTCAAGAAACCAGATATAAAGTAGCTATTGGGATAATCCGCCCCTTATGAAGATCTCCTCCTACCCTTTATACTTACCGATTGCCTTAAACCCTGAAGCAGCAGGTTTCACATCTCTTCCCAAACTTTTTAGTATTTACTGTTCTAACTCTGAGCGCTCTTGTTATCCATATAAACATCCAATCCCTCTTTGAATCTTGCTAACTTCTTGGTCTTTGATGTTAGCCTTCTAACTTATTTTAAAAAAAGAACTAGTTTATGTAAACGTAGATGATGTATTTCTCTATGCCGTGTGCACACTTACTACAGTAATGTTTTAATTAACATTCTTTTATCATTTTTTTTCCAGCCTGGTTGGGAGGAAAGAATCCATTTGGATGGAAGAACATTTTATATAGATCATAGTAAGTAAGCACCTAGGTACTACTGCAAGTAGACAAAGGGAGGTAATAAATATTGAAGTGAAAGCTTTATAATTTTACTCTTCATTTAGGAAGCCAGGTGTTGATATGTGGAGACATTGATACCAGAGACTTAGTGCCCTCATACGGTACTGTATATTCACCAAAAGCTTGCTTTTAATTGGCTCATCAAGCTTTGTCCCTCTCTGATCTTGTGAAGCATTAACATTTCTTCTTTGTGGTTTTCTTTGTTTTTGTTGATATTTTGGATTCTTTGTTGTTGTTGATGATCCCATGGCTTATTTGCACTTATTTAATAAATTAAAATACACACTAGGAATAGAAAATAAGATGAGAAAAGATGATATATCCACAAGTCCATATGTAGGCAGTGGAAGAAATAACACCGATAAGTAATTTTCCCTCCCACTTCCTTAAAAAGGTCTTGTGGCAATGCCAATTCTGACCTTATTTTCTATTTGTAGCATGTTTTATTGCACCCAGCCCGTTAATATCTATCCAATTCTGTTATTGAAGTTCCAGTGTAAGTGATGTTTCATTGTAGACTTGTCTTATTACAGCATCTCAGAACAAGTGTGTGGATTTTTGTTGTTTGAATATAAGTGGCAGTCTAATAGAAGATTTTTTTTTTTACCTTTCAGCCGGGTTTATTTGAAAGGTGTTCCTATTAATGGGGATAATCCTCACATAAAAATATAGAGACCATGAAATATCCTTATAAAAATTGGAAGTGGGGAGGATAGCTGCACAAAACCTGTAAAAATTAAAATCTTAAACCATTCTACCGGTTTGTCAGTATTATGGTTTTTACTTTATTTTAGTGTCAGTAGTATTAACTGCTATGCTTATTCTCTGTTTTAAAAAAAAACTGTAAAGCAGATTGTGATTTTTTTAAATTGCATGCTTAGCTTTTAAGAGGTACCCTGCTTTTAAATAAGGAATTCAACTGATACATTCTTTGCAGAGAACAAGATTAACCTGTTCCAAATATTACTATGGAATTCTTCGTGCTCTTTGCACTTTTACTAATTATTTTAATTAGCCAACAAATGTCTGGAAACTTAGAGTTAAGGTTAGTTAAGGCAATTTATCCTGTACTCCTGTTATCAAGGAAAGAAAAGAGCAAGATTTAAGACAGTGTCACATTTACACTTGCTGTAATTCCCTGTCTTTCAATAGTTTAATTAGCCAGACCCTTAAAGTTATTTGAGCATACGTTTGTCTCTAAATATAGAGGAAAATTTTAATGTATACATTAGTCAGATTTCTAGTGAATTTTTAGCAATTGTTAAACATTTTACATTTTTTTTATATGAAATTTCTTCCTCAATTCCCCCTCCTGAGATGCAGGGGTTTTTTGGCTTTGCGGATGGCAAACTGCAAAAAGCAATTTTTTCCTGGTGATACTTGTTTCCAGAAAACACCCTTGTTCTCACATTGTTACATCACTGTGGTAAACAGTGGACCAGCAGCAGGGGTGAAATCAATGGTATCACAATGGACTTGTTTGAGTTTGTTTGCGATAACCTCATGCTCAATATTAAGCAAAAGACAATGCAGAATGTTCAATGACTTGGCTTGCCCAATATTAATAGTAGTGTCTGTCTTCACAATATTCCTAAGGAATATAATGACATGATATTCATGCAATACACAATTGCAGTAATGTAAGGATATGGTAATATTATTCCTATTTCATATATATTAATAAACTAATAAATGTATAAGTCCCAATTACAAGTTTATGAAACAGTATGTACAATGAGAACAGGAGTACTTGTGGCACCTTAGAGACTAACAAATTTATTTGAGCATAAGTTTTCGTGGGCTACAGCCCACTTCTTCGGATGCATGTACAATGTACCCCATTAACTAGCCACTCAACTGACCATCAGCATCTCCTGTATTCGCAGTCCTTTGTCAGTTAAAGTGGCTAGTTATTAAAGAACTATAATGGGGTATACTGGCCTTTTATAGGGTTGCCAACTCTGACTGAAGCTATTTTTCCCCCAACATGATATGATGTCATTTTTCTTAAAATACCCTATTAAAATCTCCTAGATTGCTTTCAGTAGTCACTGGGAGATCGATGCTGATTCCTGGAGACTCCAGGCCAATCCTGGAGGGTTGGCAACGCTAGCCTTCTAAGAGAAGAGGGGGCCAGAAGACCCCATTCAGGGAGTTGGAATGAACAAAGGCCCAGGAAATGGCCTGGTAGTGGAGGAAAGGAAGCGCTCCTGAGGAATTGGAAGTCGGATGGGTGGAAAACCCAGAACTGACCCTTTAAGAGCCTGCGATCAGGAGCCCTCTAGGGTGGGACAAGGCTCCCCTCTCTTTCAGCCAATCAGGAGCTATCTCTCTGAAGGACAACAGAGTGAGGCTGCTGCAAAGAGATATCTGGCCACGAGAGACAGATCAGTAAGCAGCAGCCCTGCTACAAGTACCACATCATGCTAAAACATTTCTGTGTAAAAGATTGTGATTATTTAAATTAATGATACACCATCAACTTGAAATCCAGCCAACGTTATTAAAGGGTGAATAGCTTCAGCTACTATTCGTGCCCTGGTTCCCCCATTCTGTAGTCCTATTTGGTTAATGTTTTTCTCTCCCCTATTACGGTACAAAAGGCTTGGGCAAACAGCAGAGAAACTGACTCTTGGGGAACAACAAGACTGAGTGCTATCAAATGCTCAGCATAAACTAATAAAAGAAAAATAGACTTTCAGTTGTAGTAATCCTGGATGTCACTTGTGGAAATAGTAGATTAAAAAAAATCAAACAGAAATTTCACATTTCAGAAGTGATTATTAATTTTAAAACATTCGTTTTAACAATGATGATACATAAATATTTTAATTCCCCAGCCCTCAAAGGGGGAGTGCACTGGTCATAAGATACAGAACTTTTCTTTCCCTAAGACTGGTTCAAGTTCAGCTGGGTCAGTATTATGGCCAAATGTCATTTTCCGTCTGAAAGATGTTCGGCAGCCTGCGTGCAATGACTTAGTAGTCTCTGTCCACTCTGCCCACCTACACTCGCTATATCTGCCCAGGCTGTGTGGAAGACATTGGTCTCCAGTGCCTTCCATAAGCATTAAATACACTTAAGATGCATAAAGAGAAATACAAAAACAGCATTTTAATATTAATTATTAACAAATAAGAAAATTGCCAGTTTTAACCTTTTTTTATTCTCTCAACACTTTCTTGAGAAACGTTATTTTAAACTTCAGCTTTCCCAATCCAATCTATTTTTTTGGCCATTTTAAAATTAAATTGATATTAAAAACCAACAGATCTTTCAGGCAAGCAAATTGAGGACTTAAAAAATGTGGGGTGGGAGGGACTTGATCACAGTTGTTACTATACAAATTGTAAAGCATAGCAGTACGCATAATACAAGGATTGTTCTTCCACTACTAGGGCAGAAAATTGATGACTTAGACTTTGCCATTGCAGATGGTACCTACTTGGTTTTTGGAGCATTGTCTTACTGTTGTGATACCATCATTCCATTGTGGTTCTACTGTGTTTAGATTTTTATCAGGAATATGCTGTGTGGAGGCAGGGAGAATATCACTATAATACCGTATAACCATTACCCTACCAGTGCTCTAAAAATCTGCAAATGAAAACACATTGTGTTGCTATTGTATCATTGGCAAGAGCCATTTTGGTCAAAATTGAATATGCTTCCCTTGTGCCATAACTTCATAAGGGAAGGCAAAAATGTGCACTCTTAACCTGTTTGTAAAATCTGTAGCTAGGGTCTGTGTGTCTTTCTGGAATGGAGGGAATTTCTTCCCAGTTCCATTTCAGGTCCTATTTTAAAATTGTTGTTTCTTAGTTATTCTAAATTTATAAAAATAATTTGATCGTATCATGGTGTGAGCTCTTGTCAATTTTTTTCATTTTAATTGGAAATAGTTTTAAAGTTGCACAAGAACACACACAAAGTTTGAATTTAGTAAAATTAATCTGGCATTTGAAGGGGTTCTTTGCTTGTCTTTACCTTTTGGGCTCAAGACCTTTGTTTGCCTAATCTGAGTTAAATCCATTTCAAGCTCAAGTTATAAATCCCTGAAGAAAGGGGGTTTATAATTTAAATATTGACACTATAGATCTTTAACAAAAGCAGTGTGAGTATACTGGATTATACGGTAGTTTTGCATTTTTGAATGAGTGTTTCCAACTAAACAGTGTGATGGGGTTTCAATGGATGGGGTGTACGCAGTTTTTTCCTAACCTTGAAGTACTAAATTATGGATGTTGCAGGGAGGTGGGATGCAAGTGAAAAAATTTTAAAGGATGATTTTACAGGGTGGTAGAAGAGAACTAATGGTATGATTTCTTTTGTTAACTTACAGATAGTAAAATTACTCAGTGGGAAGACCCCAGATTGCAGAACCCTGCTATTACTGGTCCTGTAAGTACTATGTATGCTAATGGTTTTGAATGCCACATATTAAATGCTATGGCTCAAACTCTCTCCTGTGCCAAGATCCAGTTGATTCAGGGCAGGAGGGACTGTCATGTAGCTGCTTACAGCTGATTTCCTAGGTCAGTCTGTGCTGCTGCAGCACAAGTTAGAACAGCCCCATGGTTGCTCTAACTTGCTGGCAGCAGTCCCAAGCAACAGGACACCAGATGGGGATTGACAGAGCACACTGAACTCCAGTCCTACCCACCGTTCCAGGGCCAGACAAGGTATGGTATAGATAGAGGCAATTTCTGTGTCTTCTGAGACCTCCCCATGTCAGCTGGCCAGATTTGGAAACTTGCAAGCCCTCTAATTTCGTTCCTTTCTTCCACCAATTATCATATAATGTAATTTCTTCCTTAAGGGCCCAGGAAAAATATTTGATCAATGGGTCTCTACCAATTATCATATAATGCAATTTCATCCTGTAAGTACCAAGGAAAAATATTTGATCAGTGGATCCTCCAAGAAATCCCTGACTACTCCATAATCTTGACTCTGATTCATCTTAGATATCTGATCAGAGCGTATTATTTGCTGCATTATTTCCTCTTATGAAAATCCCATCTGTTCAGATACTGTATGGCTAACAGATGGACATTTGCAGCTTTGACTTGCTAAAACCCCTTCATTTGTCACTGTTTCCGTTCTCCTGCAGCTACAACAAGAAACCATCTCCACCAAATTGAAACCATGGAGTTAGTTTCTAAAGGATATTCATTATTAAGATCATCCCTAGGTAGAAAAAGTACTTTTCCAAGGCAGATTTTTCACTGTAGGAAACAGACGTCGTGGTAATGAGACTCCAGGATAGAAATCGTGCAGAGGCCATATCCAATTTAATACAGCATAAGAGATGCTACTTACTTGCTCTTGGCATCCAAGAAAAAGGCAGTAAAAGTGTAAATCTGGATATATTTTGTCAGCATGCAGTCAGGACTCCTCCTCTGGCCTCCCTCACGCTTTCCTCACCCATCTTTTCTATATTAAAATCCTCTTCCTCTACTATGGCCTAGAACATAACAATCCTCCATTCCCTCAGCGACTCTTCTTTGGCTTCCTAGCCCTTCCTCCATCAAGCTGAAATTGCATATCCATCCCTTCAAACTTCTGCACAGTAATGCCTCTGTCTGCACCGCAGGTCTTATCTTCTACACTTTATGCTCTCATTTCCCAGTTGTGACTCAATGCCTGTTTTTCATGCCATTCCCTATGCCCTGAACATCCTCCCTCTCCTGTGTGTCAGGCTAACTCACTCTCCTAACCCTTCCTCAGACATGTTTCAGATAGTTTTCCAGAACTTTCTCCTCTGGTTCATCTACTGCTCTGGGGCCTCAACATGAATCAAAATAAACAGAAGACAATCGAAAAAGTAAAATAAAAGAAGCATGATACATGGCCAGATCGCTGGCTGGTGTAACTTGGGCTAAAATGGAGTTATGCCAATTTATACTAGTTGAGCATCAGGTTAAGAACAAGAATTGAGTTAGAAACAAAGTTTGTATACAAACAAACCTTGTCAAGTTACCCTCTCTCATTGTTCACTCTTCCTTTCCCTCCTACTCACCATGGATTGTAGGTAATTATGTATTTTTCTCAAAAATCCTGTGTCATTGAAATTCAATGCAAAACTTTGAGTTCAGTGGCACAGAATCGAGCCCTGGAATCATAATATTCTTTGGCCATCTTGTTTTTTATCTGTTTAAAAAAAAAAAAAGGCAGATTAATGGTATTTCTTAAATGGTTGGTCCATTTGCTGTTGGTACCTATCTGATGTTGCTAAGTCTACATCATTTAGCCCTTAACAGGAACCAGACAGTATATTGAAAAGCAGATAGTATCTACTTTTAACTTATCGGTTGAGCATACTGAAAGTTGCAATTTTATTACTGCATTAGAAAAACTCCAACTAATCACTGATGTGAAATGGCCCCTAATGCACTCAATAGGCCGATCTTTTTCAAATGCCATATGCGTGGTCACCAAGAATGTCTTTCGCGTAAAGTCGTTCAATTCTAAGGACCCTGCAAGAAACGCTGAGACTAGGATGTTGGAGTTTTTTAGTCTAATGCTTATGTGAGCCTAGCGACCTTGTGCAATGCTGAGGACTCATGTCTAATCTGGGTTTTCAGTTCTTGGGTTCTTAGGGACTTGGATTGTTGTGGAAGCACTATATTGTGCTTAGTTCCTGAGCATGCGGTGGTGAAGGAGGTGGGGCGGGAGGGTAGAGGAGCTCTTCACATTCATCATTTATCGGGGTGATAATTGTTGACAGAATTCTGGATCTGCAAAGTTAGTGTTCATTTATTTAGATGTATTGCTAACCAAAAAAAAGCTATATCTAGTCATTATGGAAAAGTGGTGACTGTCTTAGTAGCCGGTGGCATAATCATAGTATCTGGGCACTATTACAAACATATAAAGTACGTATATTCCGTAAAGTGATATTGCATTGTGTGAGTAAGGTATTTAGACAATAGGCATGCCAAAAGATTCCTTCATTCCTGTAATAAAGTCACATTCTTATGCTCATCAGGGGATAATGCTTTTTTCAACTTTTCACATCTCATCTTCCACAAGGAAGACAGCCTAACAGGCATATTTCAACCTCCCAGTTTACACCCACATCCAGCCAATTACAAACCCACTTCAAGACAATCTGAAACCTTCTTCTCCCCCAGACGCATGTCCTGAACCAACATTTGACATTTGTGATACAGCTGGGAATGGCTGAAGAATATGCAGCTCTCACGACATTTTGGAGTTCAGAACTATTCTTTTGCCCTCGTGAAAATATACTTCAAATGTTTAGAGTTGCTGCTCATTTGCATTAACTGTTTTGATAGATCTACTCTTTTGTCCTGTGGAAGCAGCAGGGCAGAGGAAAGTAATGAGGTGACAGGAAATGATTTTTTGCTTTTTATTATGATCGGTCAAGGCCAAGTACCCTCTTCTTTCTCTCTCTCTTCCCTGCTCCCAACCCCAAGTAAATTTCCTTTGTGCTTGGAATCTGAGGGACAATGGTGAGCTAAGCGCTCGCACACACACACACACACAAGTTGATTGGCATGGAGCAGATTGCAGCTGCTCCAGTACCATTACTGTAGCCTATTTTTTTTTTTTTAATTCAAGGTTTTTTGTACATGACTTTTCTATTTGAGGTTTGACAACCATAAGGATGGTGAGGAAGAGCATTGATTGATGTCTTCTGGCTGTACCCCTGTCTTAAGGCTGGTACAAATGAATGCTTTTGGGTCTGGTGCCGCTAGCTAAAAGGATTGGCTTTAAAGATTTCCCTTACGTTTTTGCACCCGTGCCAGTTTGTGCTGTGTTTCCTTCACATGTGTAATCTAAGCAGAGTCTAGCTGGGTAAGTTCTTGAATAGGAGACTTTCCGGACCCACCTCAGTGTTATGCATGTTGATGGTAATTCAGTAGAGGGCACACTTTTGAGTTAGTATCATAACAACATAAGAACGGCCATACTGGGTCAGACTAAATGTCCATCTAGCCCAGCATACTGTCTTTTGACAGTGGCCAAAGCCAGGTGCCCCAGAGGGAATGAACAGAACAGGTAATCATCAAGTGATCCATCCCCTGTCGCCCATTCCCAGCTTCTGGCAAATAGAGACTAGGGACACCATCCCTTCCCATCCCGGCTCTTAGTCAGTGATGGACCTATCCTCCAGGAACTTATCTAGTTCTTTTTTTGAATCCTGTTAGTGTCTTGGCCTTCATAACATCTTCTGGCAAGGAGTTCCACAGGTTGACTGTGTTGTGTGAAAAAATACTTCCTTTTGTTTGTTTTAAACCTGCTGCCCATTAATTTCATTTGGTGACCCCTAGTTCTAATGTTTAGAGAAGAAGTAAATAACACTTTCTTATTTACTTTCTCCACACCAGTCATGATTTTATAGACCTCTTTTTCAAGCTGAAAAGTCCCAGTCATATTAATCTCTCCTCATACGGAAGCCGTTCCATACCCCTAATAATTTTTGTTGCCCTCTTCTGTACCTTTTCCAATTCCAATATATCTTTTTTGAGATGGGGTGACCACCTCTGCACGCAGTAGTCAAGATGTGGGTGTACCATGAATTTATATAGAGGCAATGTGATATTTCCTGTCTTATTATCTATCCCTTTCTTAATGATTCCCAACATTCTGTTAGCTTTTTTGACTGCCCCTGCACATTGAGTGGATGTTTTCAAAGAACTATCCACAACGACTCCAAGATCTTTTTCTTGAATGGTAACAGTAATTTAGACCCTATCATTTTGTATGTATAGTTGGGATTAGGTTTTCCAATGTGCACTACTTTGCATTTATCAACATTGAATTTCATCTGCCATTTTGTTGCCCAGTTTTGTGAGATCTTTTTGTTGCTCTTCGCAGTCTGCTGGGGACTTAACTATCTTGATTAGTTTTGTATCATCTGCAAATTTTGCCACTTCACTGTTTACCCTTTTTTCCAGAGCATTTATGAATATGTTGAACAGTACTGGTCCCAGTACAGATCCCTGGGGGATACCACTACTTACCTTTCTCCATTCTGAAAACTGACCATTTATTCCTACCCTTTGTTTCCTGTCTTTTAACCAATTACTGATCCATGAGAGGACTCCCCTTTTATCCCATGACAGCTTACTTTGCTTAAGAGCCTTTGGTGAGAGACCTTATCAAAGACTTTCTGAAAATCTAAATACACTATATCCACTGGATCCCCCTTGTCCACATGCTTGTTGACCCCCTCAAAGAATTCTAGTAGATTGGTGAGGCATGATTTCCCTTTACATCTTCCCCAACAAATTATGTTAATCTATGTGTCTGACAGTTTTGTACTCAACTATAGTTTCAACCAGTTTGCCCGGTACTGAAGTCAGGCTTACTGGTCTGTAATTGCCAGGATCACCTCTGGAGCCCTTTTTAAAAATTGGCATCACATTAGCTATCCTCCAGTCATTTGGTAAAGAAGCTGATTTAAACGATAGGTTACACACTACAGTAGTAGTTCTGCAATTTCACGTTTGAGTTCCTTCAGAACTCTTAAGTGAATACCATCTGGTCCTGGTGACTTATTACTGTTTAGTTTATCAATTTGTTCCTCTAATGACACCTCAATCTGGGACCGTTCCTCAGATTTGTCACCTAAAAAGAATGGCTCAGGTTTGGGAATTTCCCTCACATCCTCAGCCGTGAAGATTGATGCAAAGGATTAATTTAGTTTCTCAGCAATGGCCTTATCATCCTTGAGTACTCCTTTAGCTTCTCAATCGTCCAGTGGCTCCCACTGATTGTTTAGCAGGCTTCCTGCTTCTGATGTACTTTTTAAAAAAAAATTGCTATTACTTTTTGAGTCTTTGACTAGCTGTTCTTCAAATTCTTTTTTGGCCTTCCTAATTCTATTTTTACACTTCATTTGCCAGAGTTTATGCTCCTTTCTATTTTCCTCACTAGGATTTAACTTCCACTTCTTAAAGGATGCCTTTTTGTCTCTCACTGGTTCTTTTACTCTGTTGTTTAGCCACGGTGGCACTTTTTTGGTTCTATTACTATGTTTTTTAATTTGGGGTATACATTTAAGTTGATCCTCTATTATGGTATCTTTAAAAAGTTTCCATGCAGCTTTCAGGGATTTCACTTTTGGCACTGCACCTTTTAATTTCTGTTTAACTAACTTGCTCATATTTGTGTAGTTCCCCTTTCTGAAATTAAATGCTACACTGCTGGGCTGCTGTGGTGTTTTCCCCACCACAGGGATGTTAAATTTCATTATATTATGGTCACTATTACCAAGTGGTCCAGCTATATTCGTATCTTGGAATGAAGAATTGCCTCTCCTCTTGTGGGTTCCAGGACTAGCTGTTCCAAGAAGCAGTCATTTAAGGTGTCAAGAAACTTTATCTCTGTATCCCGTCCTGAGGTGACATGTACCCAGTCAATATGGGGATAGTTGAAATCCCCCATTATTATTGAGGTTTTTTTTATTTGTATAGTCTCTCTAATCTCCCTGAGCATTTCACAGTCACTATCACCATCCTGGTCAGATGGTCAGTAATAATCCCTACTGCTATATTCTTATTATTAGAGCATAGAATTACTATCCATAGAGATTCTATGGTACACTTGGGTTCGTTTAAGATTTTTACTTCATTTGATTCTATGCTTTCTTTCACATATAGTGCCACTCCCCCACCAGCACGACCTGTTCTGTCCTTCCGATATATTTTGTACCTTGGTATTACTGTGTCCCACTGATTATCCTCATTCCACCAAGTTTCTCTGATGTCTGTTATATCAATATCCTCATTTAACATGAGGCACTCTAGTTCACCCATCTTATTATTTAGACTTCTAACATTTCTATATAAGCACTTTTAAAAACTTGTCACTTTTTAGCTGTTTGCCATTACGTATGTAATTGAATTGGACTCTTTTTTTATTTGACTGTTTATCAGATCCTACCCCTATTTTATCATCTTCTATCCTCTCCTCCTTACTAGGACATAAAGAATCTCCATTAATAGATCCTCCCCTAAAGGATCTATTGCCTCCTGGTATGGAGTTTTGGTGGGAGAGTGGAGAAAGACTGCACTGTGAAGCTAACACTTTTTTTACTGAGCTGTGTCAGAGAGGTCATGACTGCCTGCTGTGGAGTTAGCTTCTACTTGATTTCATTTGGCTTTGTCATTTTCTGTAGAAAAATTCCTAGAATCTCAAGAGGGGACCTTTTAAAACATTTATAAACCCAAATAAATAAATTTATTCTCAAAGATCTTGTCATTACCCACAAAAGTGCTGTCAGATTCCAACTCTTAATTATTTTCTTCCAACCTAAATTCCTTCTTGTATTTTTAGCTTTTCATTTCTGTTCTAAAATTGTTCCGTGGTGTTGCTGTGGACTGTCACACAGCAAATGCGTTCTTCTCCAGAGGTGTCTGCGCTCTAGTGGTGATTCACGTGAACCCTAGATATTATACAATGTCACTTAATTCCCTCTTTGGGTGTTGTGAGCTAATTTAATTTATAAAATGCTTTAAAATACCTGGAATAAAGGAGTTATACAAGTGTATTTTATTTGTATTATTATTAACATTATTAGCAATTTTAAATTTTATAATCATTCTTATTGGCGCGCATACAATCCAAAAGTTTGGTTCTTACATATAGGGCTATTAAGAGAATTTCAGGTCTGGGAATATCAAAAACTGATGGATTTCAATACCCAAACTGTATTTTACTCGATTCTCCATTTCCTACCCTTCTTCTTTCCTTCTAGCCTTTGAAGTTGCAAAAAGTTACCTTACAAAAGTACGTATCTTTCAAAGCCCTGTGCTAGTAGTGAGTTCTGACCAATCTAGTCTATCATTTTGGGAACTCTCCATGCTGGTATCATGCCTCTGCCTATATGGACAAAAAGCCTCGTCTACGTTAATTGCCCTGCTCTCCATTCTGCACTAGTTGGAGCACAAAGAGCACCCATCACAAATATCAGTTTTGTCAGCACATAATGATGTGCTCTCAGGGCCATTTTAAGGGGTTTCGCTTTTTTTTAAACAGTATTTAACTTCCGTTTACATTCTGTAAAAGGGAGATAAGAATACTTCCTTTCAAAGTCTGTTGAAGTCTTTACTAAGACACTCATTAACATCAGGAATTTCTCTGCATTGAAGAGCTTGCAATCTATTGTCCTGTACTGTTTGTACACCTCAGTTCCTCAATCTCGGTTGGGGCTTCTAGGAGCTATGACAAATAATTAAAAATAATTTAAAAGACCTTATGAGGACACCTGTGCCTTCCTAATATGACACATGAGCCCTGAGAATCAGTCCTGCTTTTTTCTTTTCTTACCTTTTTTCGGGTGTTCTTTCACCCTTTCTGTTGCTAGTACCAGAAAAAAGAGGATTGTGTAGTGGTTAGAGCAGAAGATTGGGATCAAATGATATGGTGCTGTGAAACACTGGGTCTCAAATTACCCATCTGTAATATCGGGATAATACCTCTTGAGGAGGGGGTTAAGTTTTAATATTCCTAAAGTGTTTTCGGGTCCTCAGGTGAAAGTTGTTGTGTTGGTGCGAGGGTTATTTGCAATATACATATTTAGAGCAAATTACAATTGACTAAGAAAGCATGTTTTTAAACTGCTGGGTATTTTTAACTAACATTTTAGGGGTTACAGTACGTCAGATTGCATGATGTATTCAATTATGCATATTTATAATTTTCTCTCTTTCAGGCTGTTCCCTATTCCAGAGAGTTCAAACAGAAATACGATTACTTCAGGAAGAAGTTAAAGAAACCAGTGAGTAATTGTCTGTCCTGTGTTGAAGCCGATTGCCTTAGGGTAGGAAAACAACAATTGACTGCCCAAGAATAGATAAGTAGTGCTGCACTCTATTACTGTGCATTCGCCAGTTTTCCCTGCTTGTCTTACCACAGCTAGTTGAATATGAACAAATTGACTGAAGTTTTTCTGTATGGATCAAAAATGCTTTCAATCTCAACCAAAACTGATACCCAGCCCTCGAGGCTCAAGTTTTCATTTAAAAATGGACAATTAAAGCAATGAGGCAAGAAAGAAGCGGCAACAACTTAATATCACCTCAGAGTTGACACTAATTGGCATGTCTGAGGACAGGCTCAGATGAAAATCCAAGACTTGAATGGGCATAAGGACTGAGACTGCCCTCGCACCTCAGAGGTGGTCTGTCCAAGAGCATGGTCACAGGAAACTGGCAGAGCTGTGGGGAAGTTGGTGCTGTTGCCACTTCTGGTATATTGGGTCTGTGAACAGAGAGGACTTCAGTCATTCAACATCTTTCACCAGCACTAAAAATCACTTAATGAAAATAAGAGATGAGCGCTCAATGCTAACTTGCCTGTGGTATTGATTGGCTCAATAATGACTTTAAAGCTTTGGTGGCCTTAACCAAACAGATTACAGGGGGCCCTTAGGCAGTCTTTTGCTATATATTGATATCTCCTTACCTTTGCATCCAAATCTGTGAGGGCTGCTTCTTTCACTGTATTAAAATGCAGCACTTCACAGGCACCAAATAGCAATTGGCTTTCTGCTGCATTAAACAATGTAATTGGCAGTAAAAATGTTTGCTTCAAGCCCATCTTAGCAGGAAAACTAGACATTTCCGTGGTTCTCTCCTGTCGCTTGTCTGTTCATCCCACCTTATTTTCATTCTGCTTATTCCACACACATTCTTACTTCTCCTTTGCTTTTTTGCTATTTTTCTTCTTCTATTGATTAATTTTTCTTAATATGCAGAATAGGATGGAAACCTTTGAGCCATTACAAAGGAGCTGGCCCAGACTTATACCTGAAGGTAGTTGAAAATTTCTAGACACAATAGCAGGCTACCATCTTGTAGGTGAAGCTCTGGAAAACAGGGTGCTGGAGAAACCTTTGATTACTTAGCTGGGTTACTCATTGCTCTATGCTGTCATCTTAATACTGCCAGCAATGGCGTGTATGCTATGCATTCAGACCGACTTTTCTTCTTTCATGTAGGCTGATATACCAAACAGATTTGAGATGAAACTACACAGAAACAATATTTTTGAGGAATCCTATAGAAGAATCATGTCTGTGAAGAGGTCTGATGTACTAAAAGCCAGACTCTGGATTGAATTTGAGTCAGAAAAAGGACTTGACTATGGAGGCGTGGCTAGAGAATGGTTCTTCCTGTTGTCTAAGGAGATGTTTAATCCTTATTATGGTCTCTTTGAATATTCAGCAACGTAAGTGTCCATTAAAATATTTCCATTGTAAGTGATCTAGATTAGTATTTGGATAGAGAAAAAAAGTTGTGTAGTAGACCCCTTAGATTTTCCTTCAGGATGTACTTTTAAGTTCTTTAACCAAGACCAATGTAAAATGTATCTCTATACTGTGGTTTGTTACTTATTCCATGTTCAGGAAACCTTCTGAAATGAAACTGCTGCTGTGATCTATTTAGCAACTTCCATTGTTTTGTAAATATTCCACATTGTTTTGCAAGGCAATGTACTGTATGCATTTGTGCGACTAGCAGTAGTGAAAGGAATGGTGCAAGAAAGGGGGCTCTTTTTATGCCACTCCCAATACGGGTGTATGGTTGTTGCTGATTTAAAGTTCTGGGGTTTGAGTTGAAATTCAGCTCTCATGGGCCAGTTTAAACTAACGACCCTTTACACAACTCTAGCACTATAAATGGGCCTTAAAGTGGGAGTGAATTACATTTACACTCATTGTAAGGCCCGTTTATGTTGTCAGAGCAGTGCAAATGAGAAGCTGTCCCTTGTGCTCAAAGTGCCTTTGTGTAATGTAATGTTATGTACTTAACTACTAATACAGTGGTTAAAGATTGATTTGTTTATTGCAGGCAGTGCTTTCTGTGTTTGGTGCCAATATCGAGTTCACTACTTTTTTCCAATAGAAGTGTTGAGTAGGCTGTAAAGGAGATGAACTGTATAAACAAGAAATTCCTTATTCTGTGCTTCAGCTTCTCTTTTCTTTTTAAACAATTGCACAACTTGCAAAGTAACCTTCTATTTTTGTGTCTACAGAAGCACAAGGTTGTAAAATATATGACTAGTTCAAAGTGTTGGTGCTTTACTGAATTTTGCGGCAGAAACGTTTTTGCCTTTGAAAAGGTCCTTTTCATTCCTTGGCTATATGCAACAATGCATGAATAATTTAAACTAAAACTATTTAAGTTTTAGATTCAATTTGGCAGAAAAATAAGTAACAAGAAATCCCACTGAAGTGAGAATTGTCATTAAAAATAGGAATAAGAAATCATTACAGGTGATATTTTTAACCTATGCTACTAGGGAGCTTATTTCCCCCCCTAACATTGTGGTAATAAAATGAATTTAGAATTCATGCTGGGAAATACTCATATTTCCAAAGTATCACTTACCTATTAGTGTAGTTATTCAGTCCCCCATTGCTGGGTGGATCACATGACTGTTTAACTCTTGCAAGAGGTATTCAGTCTGAAGAATATACACAAGATAGCACCTATCCATGGTTTTGTGGGTTTTTTAATAAATCCATTGTCATATTAACACAATGACTTGATAGCAAATTTGGCAAGTACGGCATGCTTAGATCTAGTTCTCTCCCAGGCTTAATCATTAGAATCTGTATTGTTCAGAGGCGGAATGCTGGCGGTGACTCAGGTGCTAGGGCGGGGGGAGATGGGGACTGATCTTGCACCCCTGAGGATCTCTTGCATTTCCACCTTCTTTTAAATTTCCCTCTCCCGTCGCTTGTTTTTTTTAAAGGCTTCTCCTCACAGGAACTTTGTCTTTGATGAAGGGGAACTATGCAAGGCTCTTTTCCGAGCCAGTCAGGATATGCCTACACTGCAGAGTAAGCCCAGAATTAGTGGGACTCGAATCAGTTGACCCATGTTAGGGAACCCTGGGCTTGAACATCTACCCTGTATCTTAACCCTATGTTAAGACTTTTCTCACCCGTGCTTGAACCTAGGGCTATGAGATCCACACTGCAGTGCACAGGCCTGAGTCAAAGTAACCATATCCCAGAATCCCTACTCTTCTCTCCCCCCACCCCCGCACTGAAATGTGGCTGCTATAGCCCTAGAACTGTGGTGCACTGTGGGAAATCTTTACTGCTCAACATGCAGGAAGCAGCTTGCTTTGCAAAAGACTTGATCAATTTGCAAAACCAGGAGGCTCTCTGATAATGTGCTTGCAGATCGGTGATCAGAAGACCTGGTGTTGTTTGCAAAGAGGGTTGGTGTCTGTTTTCAATAGTGTGGATTTCAGATTGTTCGAAAAGAGAGGACTAAGGAAATTGTCCCATGGAATTGAGATGCTGCCAGCTGACTGCTGGGACCTAACTCAAGCGGGGCTGCAACTACACTGCAAAGCAATAGAGCTAAGACCCAGGGTCCTGGGACCATAGGTCCACACCCTGGGTTAGCATAATAGTAGTGTAGACACAATAGGGGTTAGGCTTGAGCCCAGGCTTAAGCATGGACTTACATTGCGGCGTAAACATACTCTCAGTGCTGTTCAATGTGCCTGCAAGAGGACACGCCTAGAGATAGTCGTATTAAGTGCTCTCTGGGTGAAAGCCTGCTTCTGTTGAAGTCAATGGGACTTTTGTCATTAACTTCAATAGAGCCAGGCTTTGACCCTGTCTTCTCCAAGGGCCTGGTGTAATATTTTTTTACTTTTGTCAGCCAGAGAGTTCAGGACTCACATTGTGAACAGTCACATGGCAAAGGTCATGTGATCATTGGGTTTATTGTAGCAATCTATTATTTTCTGTTCATGCTTCATCATTTTACAGCTCTCCTCTTGTTCGTCCTTGTGCCCTTCTTTTCCCCCAGCATACAAACTGGGTGAAAGAATATTCCCCCTTCATTCTAGAGCTTGCTGTGGTGACCAATGGCCCATCTCTGTTAAGATTTTTTTTAAACAATTAGACATTTATATGAATAAGAATAGTATTGGCTGTTAGGTTTAGCGTCAGGAATGATAAAATTACAGCAGCAGCAATCCTTGTGCTTCGTGGCATAAGCTGATCACTCACTCAGGTCATGTCTTAGACTGTAAACTCTTCAGAACAAGGACTATGTCCATTTCTGTGTTTGTACATGTCTCAGTTTGATCATCTAGTGAAGGCTATAGAGGTATTAAATATTTAATAAAAATAGCATTTTTCCTATGGTAAAGTGGTGCATGGTGGAGAATAGGGTGTAATGCTTTTCTCACCTATCCTGCACTGGCCACACCTGGAGACAGGTACCACACAAGTGGCAATATCAGTCATGTCTGGTATGGTGATTCTTACATTCCCAACAATACAGTTTTGACTCCCTCAAAGATCCGTAAGATACAGCAGCTAAGGCACACAAAGACAAATTAAAATACTGAGCTACTTGATTGCAGAAGTAGAAAATAGATGACCCAAAGTCAAATTACTTATTAACGTATCTGATGTCAACTACTTGATTATTTAAACAGGTTTTTTTTTTCTCTCTTCCAAAAAAAAAAAAAAAAGGGACAACTATACCCTTCAGATTAATCCCAATTCAGGTCTTTGTAATGAAGATCATCTGTCCTATTTCACGTTTATTGGACGAGTTGCTGGCCTGGCAGTGTTTCATGGGAAGCTATTAGATGGTGAGTTTAAATAATAATAATAAATGTTGTTATGGCATGTGTAATTTTTACTGACTTTTATTCCTGTGAGCCCTTCCTGAGCCAGCATTGCTAAAGAAGAGTGAGCTGCATTCTGTTCCTGTTTGTGCATCACCTACAGAATTGCTTCCTATGTTTAAATCAGCCACAGCTGAAGGCAGCGAGGTTGCATAAGTGTCAGTGAGGATATAATTTGATCTGTAGAATCTTTATTACTGGTGTGGGGTGAGAGAGAAATATTCCAGGTTGACCTTGGGATTCTGAAATAAGCATGCAGTTACAAAGATGACTCTTTCTAAACGGAGTCCATTTTATCTGGAGTCCCTAAGGCACAATAAACCATGCAACCTCACAATGTCATTTTTATAGTCACTTTGCAGAGCAGAATGGCACCTCGTAAATTGGGAGCTCAACCCTTGGACCTAAATTCTCCAGACTTTTACATCTCTTTTACATTGTAACTCCATTGGTAGTTACACTGCCATAAATCTGTTGCCATGGAGTGGAAAACTGGTCCTTCTGTGTTTACAGAAAAGATGAGAAAGTTGTGTTAACTTAAGCACAATTGTATCTGTGTTAACAGAGGGGAATTTCTTTGCCATTGGCAAGCTAAAGCGATATGACACTGTTTTAAACCTGAACAAATCTATTCTGTGCCTTGACCTATGGTGGGTAGAGCAGAATAGTGGAGGTTACACACTCTTCCCTCCACTGCCTGGATGATTTTATCTTTTAACAAATTTAATAATTGGAATTGCTTCAAGCTATAATCCTAAAATACGGGTTTTCTGTGCAGCTGCTGTGGCTGGAGTACTAGTGCTATTTCTACTCATTTTCTCCCAAGGACTCTGTAAGAATGACAGTGGATGTGGATGCTGGGTGGATTGTGTGTGGAAGGCAGGGGATAGTGATCAGTTTTAATGACAACAGTAACACAGGACACTTCCTAGGGACTGTTATAACGAGTGGCTGTGGTTAATAAACGGCCCCTTGGCTTCACTTCAGGATGTCATCTCTCTCTTAGCAGATTGTTAATCCCCAAGAAATGCCCTGTGCTTGTACTGTTACTACTCAAATGTATTACACTACAATGACTGCTGATTATAATTTTTTGTTTTACACTTGCTAATCTGATATCAATGTGATATGTTTTTCTTTTCTAATTCTCTCCGTATTCTTTCCTTGGGACATTGAAAGGTGTGAAAGAGTGCTGGTTTTAGCAGTGTTATTATTTGCTTAGTCGGCCCTTTTTGTCTCGGATTGCTAGCAGAACAAAAAAATACAGTTTAAAATTAAATCTATTTACTTGTGCCTCTTGGTTTATTTTTTTTTTTTTTTTTGTAGGCTTTTTCATCAGGCCTTTTTATAAGATGATGCTAGGGAAACAAATAACGCTGAAAGACATGGAGTCAGTGGTAAGTGAACACTTAAAAATTATTAGTGTTAAGAGAGACAAGGTGGGTGAGGAAATATCTGTTATTGGATCAACTTCTGTTGGTGAAAGAGACAAGCTTTTGCACTCCACAGAGCTCTTCTTCAGGTCTGGCTCTTTGAGCTCAAAAGTTCTGTCTCTTTCACCAACAGCAACTGGTCCAATAAAAAATATTACCTCACCTACCTTGTCGCTCTCATATTCTGGGGCCAAAACAGCTACAAGAACACTGCAAATAACTTCTTAGTGTTGTCAGTTACATGAGTTTCTTCTCTGGGGAAATTATAAAAGCTAATACTTCTAATAAACTACATGGTGACAAACAAAGTTAGAGCAGTGAGAACTTGGGGAACATTTCTTATTTTTTAGTAGAGGTACTTTTGTGTCTGCCAAGAGATTTTAGGGGTAATGCAATTAAAATTATGGGGAAAAATAGGTCAATTAGAAAAACAACTTGAGGTGCTTTTTTGTTTTCTTAATTATGCTGTAGACTTTCTGCTTTTTCCTTTTCCTTCCCAAACTAAGCAGAACAATGGGCAGGCGATATAGAACCACAGAAAAGTAAGGCTGAAAGGGACCTTGAGAGGCCATCAAGTCCAGTCCCCTGTGATGAAGCCAGATCAAATAAATCTAGACCAGCCCTGACAGATTTTAGTCCCACCTGTTCAGAAAAACCTCCAGTAATGGGGATTCCACAGCCACCTTTGGCAGCCTGTTCTACAGCTTAACTCAGTGGTCCCCAACCTTTTTCGTCTGGCGGGTGCCAGATGATGAGCCACGGAGGACCGTGGCGGCGCACAAGCATCCGCTGAAATGCCGCCGACAAACGGCAACATCAATAGGCGTCGCTGCCGAGATGCCGCCAACAAGCAGCGTCATCCAGAGGCGTCACCATCGAAATGCCGCCGAAAATTAGCGGCATTTCAGCCGCGACGCCTCTGGATGATGCCGCTTGTTGGCGGCATTTCGGCAGATGCTCGTCCGCCGGCCAGTACGCGGGCGCATTTAGACGCCCCGGCAGGCGCCATGGCGCCCGCGGGCACCGCGTTGGGGACCCCTGGCTTAACTACTCTTATAGTTAGAAAGATTTTCCTAATATCTCATCTATATCTCCCTTGCTTCAGATTAAGCCCATTACTACTTGACCTATCTTCAGTAGACATGGAGGGCAATTGGTCACGATCCTCTTAACATTTTTAAAGACTGTTATCAGGTCTCTCCTCGCTTGTCTTTTTTCAAAACGAAACATGCACATTTTTTGTTGTCCTTTCCTCATCGGTCATGTTTCCTAAGCCTTTTTATCATTTTTGTTGCTCTTTTCTGGGCTTTAGGCAGTTTATCCCCATCTTTCATAAAGAGTGGCACCAGGAATTGGACACAATACTCTAGCTGAGGTCTAACCCCAGTGATGACTAGAGCAGGACAATTACATCTGTGACTTACATTATTACTGAGGGAATTCTGTGCCAAAAAAATAAAAATTCTGCAAAATTTTGCATAATGTCAATAAATGTGTGGAGGATCTAGCATGGCAGTGGGGAGCACAGGCCGCAGAGGTGGGAGATCACTCTGCAAGGCCCCGCCGCCCTCCCCCGACACAGACTCAGGGGTGAGGCTGCACCAGACCTTGACAAAGCGCAATGGCTGGGCCTGTCCCAGAAACACCCCAGGGCCCTGCCCCTCCACACCAGGTGCACCAAGATAGTAAGTGAGAGGGACAGAATCTCAAATGCACGCCCAGCTCTGGCCCCCGATCCAGGTATGGAAAGGCAAGCTCAGCGTGGCAGGATCCAAGTATGTAGGGGATTGGGGGGGGGAATCCAGGTGTGGGGTGAGAGGATTATGTGGGGCAATCTAGGTGTGAGCAACACAGTGGGGGGTCCAGGTACGGGGGGAGAGGCCTGGGTGCAGCTGGTTGGGGTTCAGTGGGGTGGGAGTCCAGGTGTGGGGGCCTCATAGGGTGGTCCAGGTGCAGGAGGGGTGGGGCTCAGTGGAGTGGGGGTTCAAGTGTGGGGAGCTCGGTGGGGGAGGGGTCTGGGTACAGGGAAGGGGGTCCGGATGCTGGGGATGAGGCTTGGTGGGGGGTTCTGGGTGCAGGAGGGTGCGGCTCAGCAGGGGGCGTCTGGGTATGGGGGGGTCTGGATGCCTGAGGGTTGGTGGATGGGAGAGCAGCTCCTCATACAGTGACTCCTCCCTCCACGGCTGAGGAGAAGTGGGGGGCAGGAAGCTGGGGGGAGAGGTGCAGAGCTTCCTGCAGCCATGGGAGGTTTCTGGGGGTGGGTCTTGACCCAGCCCCAGCTGCTCCTTGAAGGGGAAGAGTAAGTTCTGTCCTCCCCTGCCGCCAGCCCAGCCAGGACTAGCCGCTGAGCCCGGCGCAGAGTAGGAGCCACCAGCTGGGGTGTTCCCAGCCCCACACACCCATCCCCACCCCCGCAGTGATTTACCTGCTCTGTTGAGATTGAAAAATTCCAAATTTCACCTCTGTTCCATAACTAGGTATAAGTGGTTTCTATTAAACCAATAGAATGATACTGTTGTTTTTCTACTTTTACTGACTTTTTAGGGTCATTCTAGTTCTCCCCCAGAGCCATCTTGTGAGAACCAAAGACACTTCTTTTCTTCCTCTTTCAGCGTCCTCTTCCGTTCCCTCAGTCGTGGGGTTCAGGATCTCAGGGTGGGGTTCAAGGTCTTGATAATCACCCTACGTCATTTCTGTTGTTCTTGCAACCAGATGTAAAACTGATGCTGCCTAATACTTAGTTCTACAATAACTCTTCTTGGTCTTCTCAACAATTTGTTCAGTGGGAGAGGAGCAAGATGCAGTTGATCTTTGTTGGAGTCTAGAGTGTCACTGGTATTTTTCTGCTAGTGACAAATTACAGTGAATTCACTGCTTTAAAAATGCTGTTCAGCTGTTTGATCCATGCTCCTTCTCCCACTGTCTTTGTCATACTCACTAGAGTTTGGCTTATCACTTGTTCAATTAAAAATAAATGAATAAACTCTATTCTGACCTGATTCTTAGTTAATAAACTTTTCACTTACTTTTTTTTGCTTCTTGTAATTGGAAACCTTAATTTTTGATCACCTTTGCTGGTGCTGTTTTCGCTATTTGTTGTTTTGTTTTTCTCTCCTGTTGGCTCACTCTTTAATTGTAAATCTAATAGAAGTTGAAGACATGAGCCATCCAGGGAAATAGTGGGAATCTGGTAGTTGGTGGATTTTTTTCAACTCAATAAAGCAACTTAATAAGTTGGTAACAACTTTGCCTTGGAATGAAATGATACTACTGGGCTATTACAGACCATTTTAATTTGATTTATTTTTGTATAAGTAACACAGTCATGAGTGTGAACATAGAAAATATGGTATTCAGGAATAATGTAAATTAATAATGCAAACTATCTGATTTCCACTTTATTATAGCTGTACCAAAATGAAAAGGAAGACTGTACAATCAGATAAGAAATGTGAGAGATTGCAATCCATTTTAATTATTTCTAGAGCTCTAATTTCAGATTATTGGTTTTTATATTTATAGAATATAGCACGTGATGTCAAGTAAACAATAATGTACGCATTTTCAAAGAGTGCTTACTTGTAACCTGTTCTGTTACTACAGGATAGTGAATATTATAACTCTTTGAAATGGATCCTGGAAAATGACCCTACGGAGCTGGATCTCATGTTTTGCATAGATGAGGAAAACTTTGGACAGGTATGTATCGGTTACTAAAAAAGAAAACAAAGAATTCAAACTTATCTTTCCTTCTTCTTTACTTGTCAGTTACTGCCAGACATTCACTAATGCTGGGCAGTATTTGTGATTTGGGAACATAATCCGAACTTTCAAGTGTTAATGGTCAGTACTGCCAACTGCCATGCAGGGCTCAGATTCTGGACTTCTTTCTCCAGGGGTCAGCTAAGACTATGGGAAAGTTCCATAAGTAAGTTCGTTCATGCCCAGTGGCCAGGAGGCCACTAAATAGCAATCCTCTCAGTGAGGTGAACTACAAACAGTATGGGAAGCAGTGGTATGCGCAAGCTTCCCCAACACTGTGCTAGAAAAGTTCCTCAGCTTTTGATCTGGAGGGACCACCTCCGGGGTGAGAGAGTAGGTGTCTTCATGCCCGATGCAGACTTTGGCCTCTGCGATCAGACTGCCAGTTAAGGTGCCAAGTGAAGATGGGGTTTGTTTTTTTTTGTTTGTTTTTACTATATAGACACTACTGAAAATGAACTAGGTCAAAAACAACCAACTTATTAATGGGGGAGCTGGTAGCAAATGCTATTTTTACGTTGCCTAACACTCTCCATTATAATAAAAGATTCTTGTGACATTTTTTGTGGAAGCTCTTGCACCGCCTCTGTTTGCAGCAGGCCTTTGATATTTGCAGGGGGACCCACCCTGAGGCTACCAAGGTGCCTTTTCTTTGTCCCATGAAATTCTGTTAAGCCTTTGCTGAGAAACTGTTAAAAATCACGGGGGGAGGGATAGCTCAGTGGTTTGAGCATTGGCCTGCTAAACCAAGGGTTGTAAGTTCAATCCTTGAGGGGGCCATTTAAGGATCTGGGGCAAAAATCTGTCTGGGGATTGGTCCTGCTTTGAGCAGGGGGTTGGACTAGATGACCTCCTGAGGTCCCTTCCAACCCTGATATTCTATGATCGCTATTTCCTGTCTCTCACTTACATTTGTCAGGAAAACTCTGGCAGCCTGCCAAAGTAACTAAACACCACAAATGTTCTAAGGCAGTGGTCCCCAAACTTTTCAGTCACGCTCTCCCCTCTCCACCTCCTGGAGCTGGGGGGGAAGTATGGACAGGGGTAACAGGGCCAAGGCTGGGGCCACAGCTGCAGGAGGGTCTGGGGTTGGGGCCGAGAACGAAGCCACAGCCAGGGGTCAAGGCTGGCACCGGGAGTGGAGCCGAGGCTGGGGCCAGGAACAGAGCCATGGCCGGCCCACAGCCTATTCCCACCTCTCCTTCCCCTTGGGGTACCACAAAGGCCAGAGCTCCCCCAGGGGTGCAGATGGCTGGAGAGAGACTCAGGCCAGGGTCCTCCCAGCTACCCCCTGCATCCCATATAACCTCTGGGAGAGCCACATAAGGCAGGAACTTCCTCAACTCTTGGGTGGTGGGGGAAGAGAGATACAGGCCAGATTGGGCATTCATTTTTTCTCCCCCCCCCCCCCCCACCTTTTCCCCCACCTGACTATCCCCAGTCCCACCATCTGGCCAGCAGTCCATCTCTCTTAGGTGCCTCTCCTGGGGCCAGCCAGTAGATTTGCTCTCTCTATGTCATTTGGGAGTGGTGGAGGGGTGGCGTTGCCTGATGTGCTTCTTGTCACCTCCTTTCTGCAATGGTAGAATTGAAAACATTCCCCTTCCTTCTGGTCTACTACTTTCCCTTCTCAGCTTTGAGACTGATAGATTCCCCACATTAATACAGAGAAATCCCCCAAGGAGTATTTCCAGTCTTATTGCAGTAGACTGGGGTTAGGAATGGTAAATTAGGAATTTTAAAAGGAAGGATACTTCTTGCTTCCCCAAAAAGGTGTAAATGGAAGCAGGTGATTGGTAAGGGAGTATGGGACCTGTTATGGGAATGAGGAATCACAGCTCAGCCACAGACTGAATGAAACTCACAACTAGACAAAATGTGTACAGCTCCTCTTGCAGCAAATTAAAAGCCTTTAGAAGGTAGCGTACGTGTTAGATGATACAATAGCCTAAATTTTCTCCAAGTTGATTTCACTGTATTGCACTGAAGTGCTCTGAGGAACTAGCATCCTGGAGAATCTCTTTGTGTAAGTGACTGAATGAAATTCTTAAGGAAGTTGTGTATACCAGAGAGGGAGACATCTTTGCTTCCTGAATTTGCTATTGTCCTTGATGTTTTTATTCTACATACATAGCCCAAAAATATGCAAGAAGTGAAGAACAATAATAGAATTTCAAACATCTGTTCTTTCTCCTTTAAAAAACAACAGGGGGAGGATTTTGATAGTTCTTACTAACAAGGCAGGAAATCCATGGGGTGGCTATTATCAATATGTAAAGTGCTGGGGAGCCTCCTTTCAATAACAGAAAATGAAAGGACCTGTGCTACATTCAGAGCCCATAATGGCTCTGAGATATTGTTTGTCGTTGTCTAAATGTGATGTAGCTTCTGGTGATGGGAAAGAAACAAGCAACAAAATCCTGCCTCGTCTTGGATGCCATTATTTGTGTCTGAGATCTGAATATCTTTATCCCCTTTGACCAGGAGACTAAAGCTGTTCTTTTATTTGTGATTTTCTTTTGTTGTCTTCTCTGATCTTCAGTTATTGCATAGCTGGGAGTCTCTGTGCTTTGTGTATGTGTCTGTCCCATATTGATGATAGTTTTTATCAAATCTCTCTTTTCCCTCCGCACCGTTTTACTAGGTACTTAGTTTATTGTTGTGTCCCCAGTTACTGGGGACTTCTGAAATGAAAATGCTGAGAGTGAAATACAAGGTTGTACCTAATATGGGCTAGATTCACTTCATGGGTTCCACCAGTAGAACTAGACTTCAGGATTGGGCAGTAGAAATTGCCAGGAGCAGAATAGTAGTTTAAAGTCAACCAGTGCCTTTCATCCTAGACCAAGTGCACATCCTGCACTGCAGGAGTGAATCAAAGCTCATGTTTGCACTGTAGGTGTAGTCACACATTCTGACTAAAGACCTAGAGTCCAGTTCCAGCATAATGTGAACTCGGACTAATACTTTAGAGGGTCTCTCAGGGACTTGTTTGGCTGTTCCCAAGTGTTGGTCAGGAGTCTGGAGAGACTAGCCTGAAGACATTGTATTCACCTTCATGACAAATATGCTGTTTTTATTTTTTTCCTTTGCAGCTGCTGCTAAGGGGCATATGTTGTTTGACAGCTCGTCTTGTGCTCAATCTGCCATTCCATTCTTTAATTAAAAGATCCCATTTTCTGGCTTATGCCGTGCTCATCCGGAGTATTTTTTGTTGAACTCCTGCTTGTCAATTTTATTTTCCTCAGATCATTGTTTGCATCTATTTTAGTTTACTGTAAATTTTGGCATTTCTTGTTTTAAAGGATCTACCAATGAGTAAGTGGCAAACAAATACAGTAAATGGCTTTCAGTCTTACTCCTTTTTTCCCCGTCTAGGTTACCTCACTTTCTAGCAGAACTATATAATCATCAGAAACTTTCTTTAGAATTCTGTCCTTGTGGTTTTTGTGCTTAACAAAATCTTCTAACAACTCTGCCTGCTTTGTGGTGGTGCCCTTTTTCAAATCAAAGTTTCTCTGGTTATTATGGTGTCTGCTAACTTTAAAATTCTTCAAAATATTTGTCTAGATCTTCAGATAGCTGTTCCGCATTTTGCCGAAACTGTAACATGTTCATTATCCAAATGACTCTGACCTAGTGTTCTGATCATGTCCCTCCTGCTAAACAATTCAGTATTAATCAACCACTAAAGGAGATTTCATTTGTAGTGGGTGGCTCAGATCTGCATAGATGTCAGGGGCACCCTCTGGCCGTGGCACCACCTCAAATGGGAGGCTCCATTGAAAAGAGCATACAGCCTGGGCTGTGTTTTCCTCACCTAAGCTCCACAGGGAATGATGTGTGTCATCTACCAGTCAGATTTCACCCTTTTAGCAACCCCAGTCTTGTGAAATAACCCCCCCATACAGAATCTGGAGAAGGGGAGATGGAGCCATGGAAGTGAATGATCTCCCCTTTTCTGCATGGGAAGAGAGGACATTTGTGAATGGAGAAGGAAGGAGAATGACCCAGACTCTGGTGTGGTAGTGGGCAGTTCAGGAGGTGTAGAGGGTAAAAGTGCCACCTTTATAGCCCCCAATCCTGTTTCCTCCACAGACTGGACTAGTCCCTAGCATAAGTTAAAGCAACCCATGTCTGTCTTCTGTCTTGCTGCCATGGCCCCAGCGCTCATTTTCTTTTACCCCTGGACACTTCTCCCAGTACTACCCAGGGGTTTACCCATGCTGGAGAAATACTACCCCAGCCAGTTAAGTTGACACTGTAGCAGCTTTGTGTTGCTGGAACCATAGCAGGCTTGCTGTCCCAGGTGTTGTGAGGTGGTAATCCAAAAATTGCTTCACAGTCAATCTGTGTTCTTGACTCAACAAACTCTCTTTTCCCTATTGAGCATTGTTAATTTAATTCTTTACTAGTTGAATAGTAAACACAAAATGCAGCCCTGCCTCCTCACTTAATAATGAAATACAATGCATAATTCAAGCTCATAAATGACCATACCGCAATCTGTCCTAATGATGCCAGCTTTAAATATGAAACATCTCGACACTCAGTATAAAAGCCTCATTAGCTATTTTAACATATTAGTTACTTTTTAACATACATTGAAAACTATAGAGAGCTTATGAATTAGAAAATAGTTTAACAGATACTTATGTAATAACTCTCTTCTAATGAACTTTTAACACACTATTCAAAGATAGTAGATCTTAAAGATATATTTCCTGAAATAATTCCATGTTTTGTTTTTGTTTGTTTTTGTCTTTTAAAATACAGACATATCAAGTCGATTTGAAGCCAAATGGGTCAGAAATCATGGTAACAAATGAAAACAAAAGGGAATATATTGAGTATGTATATACTTTTTTGTATTAATTTAAAAGTCTAACAAACCACAATAGCATGCTTTTTGGAACTTAACCTGCTAAGATATTACAGTGTGTAGCATAAACTCTACAGACAACTGATCATTAAGTAGAAAAATCCTTTTTACTAACATGACTTGTCTGAGTATTAGTGTTTTGCTGGTTTGAATTTTATCATTTTTATTCACTGTAGAAAGTACAACCAAGATTAATCAACCCAATTCATGGAATGTATTAAAAGCTATCTGGATGTTTTGGCAGGTAGTACTTTCAAGACTCGGTATCTATCCATTCTGGGTTTTGCCATTATTAATACTAGACTTTAGGGTATAAATTCTAAACCAAAAGAAAGTCCAGATCTAAACACTACCATCTGAAGTCAAATTTACTGTGGATGGAAATGGATATTAGACTAGATAGCCTATCCAATTAAGATACAATAAGCAAACAGTAAAGCTCTAATTAATCTATTAACAAGCACGCATAAACAAAACTCTTTTTACTTACGTAGTATTTTATAACTTTTTGTTCAGCATTCTGGTCATGATTCAGCAAGATGCGTGAGAGTTAGGCACATGCTTAAGTAACATATTGAATTGGAACCTGTAAAATGAATAGTTGCTACTTTTTTACTTTATATTGTTTGCAGTTTTCCAGTGTACTGAGTGACTCTCATGGGAAAAGCATTAGAAATTCTATTTTCTTCTCTGTTTTTATGAATTCTTTTCTGTTGCTGCTCTTCATATCTAAAATATATCTACAAGCCTAATTGTTTTTACTTGATTCAAGGCATGTTATTTTTCCTGACTATTGTGTTTGCAGATGCATAAAATTAGGTGCCATAAACATTTATTTTCTCTTGCTTCTTAATACTGAGCAGTAAAGAAAAGCTCCTTGAAAATCTAGGGCTATGTTGTGAAAGTTTGCACAACTGAATTCTGCTTGCACCAAGGTTCTTCCTGTGTTGACTCACATATTCAAGTTATTCTCAGAGATGTGGAACGGGTAGCTTTTACTTGTACACTTCCTCATTTCCTGGTTGTACATTCATTATATGGAAATAATTAGCATATCTGAAAAAATCCTTTCATAAAATTCCACAGGGATTCCCCCCACTCCTCCCAGAACATAGAAATAATTTGTATTCTCCGTTACACTAACAATACTCAAGCTATTATGTATGAAAATATAAACTACACCTTCGTCTTCCTCACCTTCTCTACCCACAAAAAAATAAAGCATACAAACCAATAGCTGCTCACAAGCCTGCCTGATAACTAAAATGTACCTCTTAAACAAACCCTATATTAATTATATGTTCACAATAATCAAGAGTGTGTGCTTGTGAATGTAGGGAAGGAATGAGGAAGGAATTGGAATTATAAAGTGTTATTCAAAAAGACACAAAATGTTAATGCAGAAGTGATTTAGTATTGTAACACAAGCAGCATAAATGCTTGAGTTTCTGTACACCTTGGTGGCAGTGTAGATTGTTTAAATATAGTAGTGACTATTGTTTGCAGATTATTTAAATCATTTTACAGTCCTTCCTAGGGGATGCTGAGGCTCAGTATTCTTATAAAATCAAAAAACAAACAAAAAGCCCTTCCCAAAAACTGAATTCCTTGTTTTATCACAGGTGGATGTATCAGTGCTATTGTCTGTAGATATAATTTCTGCATAAATTCATTTAATCTGTAGAAAATTGTTAGACGTTCCAAACTCTCATTCTTTTGGTCCTAAATCACACTCAGATGAATTCTATTTTAATGAATTGTTTGAATCTTCCTAAACACTCTTATAAAAATACTACAGTGTTCTAAAGTAATAATCCATCAGTACAATGTATACCTTCTCTTGACCACTCATATAGTTAAATGCAGTAGTAATTTTTATCATGGGACGACGGTATGCAATCATAATAGTAATACAGATTTCAGCCACAAAACAAGTAGCACTAGAAAGTTTATAATGGAAATTCAGGCTGTAGGCAAACCTTTCCGAAGTTTTGCTTTTTAATTGAATTAATGGGATGACTTACTATCCCAAATTCACTTTATATGTGTAAAACATACAAGCTAAGACTTTTAAAAGTGGGTGCCTGAAGTTAGGACCTTAAGTCCATATTTAAGTATGTGGGAACTCCTGGGTGTTTCAGTGCTTTTGAAAGACAGACTATTTCTTCAGGTGCCTAAAAAATAAGGATAAATAATAATCTTAGAGTCTACCTTGAAGGCCCCATTTTTTTAAAAACTTAAGAGTTTTCTAGGCTATTTCAATCAGAGACCAAGTTGTTTCACCATGTTCTGCTTAAAATAAATTTAATCTCCATAGGAACAAAAAGATTAATTTCATTTAACTTCTGCACTTTTACTGCAAACCTCCTAATGATGTGGAAGGGTCATATCTAAAGATTTTTAAACATATGTCCAAAGCCATTTAAATGTAGGCTATTCTTTGGGATTACTTTTTTTTATGCTCATTAGTGGGTTTTTTTTCTCACCACCTCATGTCTTCTCATGGAAATTTGAGCAGTTAATGAAGAGATGCACATATTCACATGCTCAGTAGACATCCAAACTCAAGCATAAATTGGAGGCATTTTTCCCTTCGTTTGCTCTGTTTATTTTATATCAGTGCTTGATGAATGATTACTGAAGCTATAAATGAGAAACTGAAAACATTAGAATAGGTGAGATCATTAAACATTCTGTTTATATCTTCTAATGAAAGTGTTTTTGTTTTTTTTTATCTGCTATAGCTTAGTCATCCAGTGGAGGTTTGTAAACAGAGTTCAGAAACAAATGAACGCTTTCTTGGAGGTAAGCTTCATTAGTTGTTTTCTGCCAAATAATCTTCTCAATTTATTGTGGTCGATCAAGATTCATCTTTTTTGCATGGACTTGTCAGGCCTAAAAGTTATGGATGGGAAATCTTGCAGTATCCCAAAATTCTAGTGTTTAGAAAAAATCAGTAATATCCTGAAAACATTTTTATGGCTCCTCTCCTGTCATATTCATTCTCTGTCAACTTAAAAGATTTTCAAGGCTTTAAAATTAAGCAACATGAACTTCTAACTGATGATCCTAACATTACCTTTCTATTGTGACCACAACTATAGTCCATTCTCAAAACCCTTCTTTTCCTCCCTAGCCAGCAGTGATTACTTCTGTGCCATGCTGCCCTGCAACCATGGATCCTGGAACCCAGCGATCCACAGATCCTACCTTTAATTCTCCCTTGTGTGTTTCAAATTTCATTGCAGTTCTGTCCATTGCTGCACATTTTTCAGGCTCTGGCTTCTAGAAGATTACAAGGATTGCTACTGCAGAGTGTCTGGCTTCAGTCAGTTCCTCCCTCCCATTAATTCACTAACTAGAATAATTTCATTCTTAGTCTTATGGAAACCACATAGTGGTTTGGGTTGTAGAAGATGACAGAAATTCTACTCACCATAGGCCTGTTGAACTGAAAAATCCTTGTCTTAAAAAATAAATAAATAAAATCTCCATGCCACAATATAATATTCACCATCTGGTATGGAAGTGATGTTCATGTTGAGGAAGTTTGCTCTAAAATTAAGAAATGTCAGCCAAATGAAAACCAGATACTATAAATCTATTTTTGAGAAGACATTAGTTTTGTTTTGTTTTCTTTCAGGGATTCACAGAACTCCTTCCTATAGACTTGATTAAAATTTTTGATGAAAATGAGTTGGAGGTTAGTAGCTTTACATGACTTTGTTTTGTGGACAGTAGATCAGTACTGCATATTATTCTTAGAAATGCTAGATTCTGGAGTGAATGCTGTATGAATGGATTTGAAGGACCGGGTAGATTTTTCTCTCTAATTATTTGGTCTAGTTGAATGTGTGTTTTATATCATCATGATCTAGGGTGGAGAGAGGTGCTTTTCATTAAATCGGGGGGGGGGGGGGGGAAACAAACATGTTCGCACAGATTGAGCTAGGTTCTTAAGCATGTTCAGAACTTGCTGATTCAGCGACAGATGTGGTCCCTGTCTCATTGAGTGTACATACTAATTACATTCATCTTAGTGGAGTGCACAGGTCAACATTCTCCAGGAACTCTACTACAGATAGGAGAGCTTCCCTTTGTATTTGTATAAGCACTGCCTACCAGTTTAAAAGGAGACAGCGGAGGGAGGGGTTAACACTGTTTTGTGTAGGTATTGTGTTTTCCTTTATGCACCATTTTCTATTAACATCTTAACAATTACATCCATACTTAGTTATTAATGTGTGGCCTTGGCGATGTTGATGTTAACGACTGGAGACAACATACAATCTACAAGAATGGTTACTGCCCAAATCATCCTGTCATCCAGTGGTACTGGAAGGTAATACTATTTACCCCACTCTTCTCATGATCCTTCTATTTCTGAGATGAATGCTGCACTGTATGATGTACATTTTGGTGTGAAGTCTGGGTTTTTTCTCCATGAAAACACCAAACAGTATCTTCTACACACACCGGATAATAACTACCATTCTTCTTTTGTTGGTTGACAGAGTTCAACATATTCGTTAATGATCTGGAAAAGGGGGTGAACAGTAAAGTGGCAACGTTTGCAGATGATACACAATTATTCAAGATAGTTAAGTCCAAAGCAGACTGCTTGTACTGTCACCCTGTTTAGCAGGTCTGAGTGTGTGTGGTTTTTTGTTTTTATCCTTTTTGTGCTCTGTCCTCTTCTACTGCTTGAAATGATTTCTTTCCAATGTTGATGATATATTTGTATACTGTCATTGTGTCTCCCTGTGATCATTACTTAGCCTAGCTAACACACTTAGTTCTCTTAATATTTCCTTGATAACGAAGAGTACAGTCGCATCATAGACATGTAGAGAGGGGCTATTTCCTCTTCCCCTGATTTGATGCCTCTGCACATACAGCCCAAAGTCACACTTTGTTTGTCTTTGTTTTGTTCATCACATAGCGAGCTTGGCTCTAATTGGCTATCAGCTGCCACATCTGTTTCTTTCCATGCTGCTTTCTTTCAGCACTGATTCTTCCTCCCAATTTAAATCATCCTAAGGTTAGCCTTGTTGTAGCACACCCCTCCCCCCAAAAGCCCTTTGTATAGACATGAGCACTTCAATTTTACTGTTATGCTTTTTGCGCATAATGTTTCAAGAATGTCTCCTTTTTGACCCTCTCCCTCCGCTCTCCCAATCTAGTTTCCCTTTCACGTGTTGCTCTGATGTGCGTAGCAGCATAGGGAGCTAACCCACGAAACTGGTTTGATTTTGCATCTTCAGCAGTTTATGCGGTCATTTTGATTCTCTCAGATCTTGTTCTTTGCCTCATTCATTAATTTTTCACTTCAAGATACACCTGTACTTGCTAAATATTGAGCTGTTTTGTCAGGGAGGCAGGCGTGTTAGCTTAAATAAATGTGAGCACTTGTGCCTACTTGGGTAGAACATAAAGCATGAAAAATAAATCTGGAGCTATATGTTTTGCTGGATAAGGACATTGAGATGTGTTTGCCGTCAGTAAAAGCGGTAGGCTGAAGATATATCAATGCCACCCTGCTCTTTACATACATCCAGTGGCTAAAATAGCCATAATATACAGGTGTATAACCCCCATATCAAAACAATACCTTAGGGAATAATTTGATGTAAAACATAGAATTTCTCTGTGATCTGACTACAGCAAATTTAGCACATCCAGTTAAGTGAATCTAATCAAATTATATCGTAGAAGATAGTAGCAAGGAATTGCATTATACAGTTTTAAGGAATCTCTGTCATTTGCTTTTCTGTGACTTCTGTTCGGAAGATTCATTTCACACACTTTGCTTGCTGCAGCGGTTTATATATGTCAGTCTTCTTTAAGTGATTGTGCAGGGACCTATGGTGGGATGTAATTGTGCACAACACATCTTGAAGAACAACAGTTATTGTACTACTCCAGGGGAATTCTGCACCACTACGCAATGCAGAATTTTGCAGAAATTAATGTTGGGCACACAGAACTTCCTTTTTTCCCATAGAATAGGCTACAGAGATGTTGGCTGCCACTAGGGGCCGCTGGACCTGGCAGAGCCCAGCTCGCAAATAGAAGACAAGGCTAGGCGGGAGAGGGAGGGAACTGGAGGGTTCCCAGCAGCTGCAGTTCCCAGCATGCTCTGAAGGAAGGAGGCGGCGCACACGAAACTCTGTGCAAGCCCAAGACCCAGAATCAAGCTGTTTCTCCCTCTGGATCCCTGGGGGGGAGGGGTTGACGGTGTCTGGGCCAGGGGGGGCCCCCCCAGATGGGCTCTGGGGGGAAGAAGGGGGCAGAGAGGCAGGAACTGGGTTGTCGTAGGGGTTTAACTTTCTGCTCCTGGAGGAGATTTTGTGTGTGTCTGTATTATTACAGACATACTTGCTGACAGGTATTTTGAAATAAATTACCAAAATAATTGAAACTGGAGTGATTATATAGTGTTATTTTGACAAATAAAATTTTCAGAATTTTAAAATATTGTGTGCAGAATTTTTAATTTTTTGGTGCAGAATTCCCCCAGGAGTATTTTACAGGTAAGTAACTATTTTTACTGATTGTACCAAAAGGAAAGTCCACTCATCCAAAATACTGAAGTAACGTGTACTACTCCCAACTGCTGCCAAAGCACTGGGCTGTTTTGGGCTAATGGCAGTTGAGAGAAGAGTCTCTTTCTCTAAGATTAGAAAGGCTGATATCACGCCAGCAAAAGAAAATACTGTAAGACTCTCCAACCTTTGAAGTTATCTATCTAGTTCTTGTGCTACAATACAAATGAATTTTTTTTGAAATCCACCTGATGCCTGCACACACTGTTGTATCATGTGATACAGCCTGCTGACTCTCTCTGTTTATGACTAGGCTGTCTTACTGATGGACGCTGAAAAGCGTATCCGGTTGTTGCAGTTTGTTACTGGGACATCACGAGTGCCTATGAATGGATTTGCTGAACTTTATGGTGAGTTAAAAATTGAAGGTACTTAAGGATGTTTAGCACTAAAAACTCTTTATTTTTGCTCTTTGAAATGGGTTGGACCAATTCTGAGTAGGATAATGGGCCAGCAAGACAACCTATGCACGACAGGGTTATTACAAGATGAAAGTTTTCACTCCAGTGTCCGTTGAATTGCTCCTTCCCAACCTAGAAAACCTATGGAGGCTTTATGACAGCAGCTGTGGAGGGCACGTTCTTGCTCTCTGCAAGAATAACCTTGATAGGGTAAAGGGTGCGTACATATGGCTGCTGCTGTGCAGATTGGAAGCCCACAAGTACATCGCTGTTGCAGTGTTAATGTATACTTATTTTGTGGCATTATATACACTGCATCTAAAATTAACTGTATGGAATAATGAGTAGACAGTATTTATAAATATAGGGCCAGATACTTAGCTTCTTTAACTTGTACTTTCACGTCAGTGCAGTCTACCAATTATACAAGCTGAGGATTTAGCCTATAATTTTGCAAACATTTAATTTTGAGTTATAGCATTTAAGTAGTCTATCTAAAATCCAGTGCTTAAACTATACTTGTGGGGATTTTTTACTCTTTGTCCAGGTTCAAATGGTCCTCAGCTGTTTACAATAGAGCAATGGGGAAGTCCTGAAAAATTGCCCAGAGCTCACACATGGTGAGTAATGAAAACATAAAATTAAGGAGTTTATGGATTGTTACACTGCCAAGAAAGGATGGATACTGGTGACCAAATTTGACAGGAACATACTCTATCTTAGGATCATGCCTTTGTGCTATAGAGACAGTTTTCTATAAAATGGGATAATCTCCAACCTTGTGTATTCACTGCCACAGTTCTAAACATTCACGGAGTTTAGAATTATCTGCTCTCAAACTGCAGCCGGCATGAAACCGACAAAATTCCAGGAACTAGCCAGCTCAACTTCGGTCTGTTATAACTACTTCTCTTAGTTTCCAAAAGGTTCTTTGTTTAATCCTGTCCTTCAACACATTAAAAGCTGATCTATGTTAGAAAACTAATAGGTGCAAACCCCTAATGTCGATGCACTTAAGCCACTTTAAATCATACATACTTTTATTTCGGTAAAGAATTTCTGTTCTATATGACGGTGATCCAGTTGTCCCTTAAAGTTGGGAGATAGTTCTCTTGGGCTATAGCTGATATGTTTTAATGTATTTGTTGCACAGAAGGGATTCTACTTGAAAGCTTTTTCACCTTATTTCAAGCAATTGCTTCTCCTGTACAGCAGCTGTTAATTTTCTATCAAATTTGAAGGAACCCATTAGTCTGCAAATTGCCTTAAGCACTTGGCAATTAAACCAGTGTGCTAATGAGATGGAAGTGTCTTCTATAACAGTTTTAATCCCTTCTGCTAGAAGACTTTTTTGTGTCTCTAATATAATTTACCTTTTTCAAATGGATAAGGGCTTAATCCTGCAAGGTACAGAGCAGTGGGACCTGATCCACCACATCACTTGAAGCACATGACTAAGTGTTTTGCTGTATTGGGGTCAGAGCACTCGACACTTTTGATGATCAACCCCCAAGACCCACATTTTTGCCATATCATTATTATGCTGGGTGAATCTTCTGCCTGGATCACTTTCCTCTCATCATAAAAATACTAGTTTTAAATTAATATGAAAACACTTGTAGGTGTTGGTATCCTAAAGTTTGCTCTGTCGCTTGATAGAAATGGTGAGATTTGAACAATACAGAATAGTGCATGGGGCTGTTTACAGTGAAAGGTAGATTGTACAGAGAGGGGGACAGTGCTTCTGAGTGGCAGGAGGAAAGGAAGAAAAGTGCCTCGCATTAGAAGTACATTACTATTTTGTCCCTTGTTTCATATGTCTTACAGAATTACTACCCCTTCCTCTCTGTCTGAGAAACTAATGAATGGAAACAAATACGTGACATGGGAAAGAGAGACTGGCAATTGTACAAATAGAATCTACTTCAAAAATCTCTTGTTCCCTTCCTCCCTCTCTCCCCCAACCAGTCCTACTTTTGCAGGCAGCTTTTACTCTCATCACTACATGCCTGGGTTCAGTTTCAGTGAATGACTTTTATTCTCTTCCTTGGAAAGTGGATAGAATGAGCTCTGTGAAAATCTGAGAGCCAACAAAGCACAACCACAGGGGAAAAAAATGTGCACAGGAGCAGCTGGTTCCATAAGCTCCATCTGCCCCTGCCTTGTCAGACAATTCACTGAAAAGCGGAGGCCTCAGCCCAATTGACTTAATTTAAGTTAGCCAGACACATCCATAAAACTCAGATGACAGGCACTGAGAATCTGTGAAGCAAAAAAAGAACCAAAAGATTAATTATTGTGAATGTTTTCCATGTATGGAAGCCCTATAAAATAAATGGGGCTTAAATTCTTTGGTGTACTATAGAAAATAAAACTTATAGCATTTAATAGTAATCACCTTTCCATAGGTTTTTGAACCATCCTACAGAATTCTATAGCAGGAGGCTGAACTTACTTACAGAACAATTTCTGTTATCTATTAAATTATCAAGGATGTTTTCAAAGAGCCTTCTCTCTGTTTTTTGTTGCTGTTCCCACTCCCCTAGAGGGAAAATGAGCATCTGACCTTTAAATTCAGTGCATCTCTGTTGAGTCTTTGGAACTGATACAACTCTGTCTGAAGCCGGGTTTCGTATAGAAAGAAACCATTAAAAATATATTATTTTTTCTCTTCCAAGTAGATCTGAACAATTTTCCACTCTCAGGTCTGAATGGGAAGAAAGGGCTGGTTATCTGTGGATACCAACTTCAGAGCAACCAAAGTTATTAGCAGGGGCACAAGAGCTTAGGAGAAAAAGGAAATATGTAGCTGGTTCCATTTAGACAATAGGATAACACACCCCTGATGAAGCCTCCAAATTATTTGACCTCCGTATACTTTTTATTACTTTAAGTTGATTATCAAATGATACTTTTTCCCCCTTCAATTTCAGCTTTAATCGCCTTGACTTACCTCCTTATGAATCTTTTGAAGATTTACGAGAGAAGCTTCTTATGGCAGTTGAAAATGCTCAAGGATTTGAAGGAGTGGATTAAAACAGCTACTTTTTTTTCCATCGAGCAAGTTCTGCTTGAACTGTTGAATTTGCCTAATGGACATTAACAAGTGACAATGGCAGAACAGTTGCACAATGTTGGTTCATGGAGCAAACTCTTCTACAGTGCAGTTGCCTAAATTCAGAAATTTGAACTACAACCTGTGGATAACATTTCTGATATTTCCACAGTAAATCACCAACTGGTTGACATGTACTCTAATTACATTTCAGCAAGACTTGTTCTATTTATGTTGTGCCTCTGTAGGCAAAGCCCTTAATAAATATTTTACATACTTTCTAATGACAATGAATGGAATTAATCACTTTACAGGTATAGTATTACAACTCATGTTTACTTTTTAAATGATTTAGACATTTTCAGATTTTATTTCATCACAATTAAAAATGTCATCTACTTGGAAAAATGAGCATTTTTTCTTATCTTAATTTCATACCAGACTTGATGCCAGTGGCATTTTTACTTTCAAAATGCATTTTGAGCCTTGTCCCCCCCAACCTATTAGAAAAGCTGGAGTAACTGATGTGAGAAATTTTCTGCAGATGGAATATATTAATGGCAAATCTAAAAGCTTTTCATTGAGCACATTAACATTTTCTGTACCCAGAAGAAAAAGTACAGATTGGATGTTACATTTTTGTATAAATCAATAGAATAGTTACAAGCTGAGAGAGGATCGTAACATAGCATGCCAAATCTCACGGTCAATAAAGAAATCACCTCATTATTCCTTGGTAATATTTGTGTACTATAAAACATTTTGGGATAGGGTTGGCATTATCGTTATAGGAAAAAATGCTTAACCCTGTTATTAACTTTGTACAGTGATTCTTTTACTATCCTTTCCTCTTTACTATTTGCAATGGAGGCAACCTGGCACTGCTTGATTTGGAACTGTGGAAACCAGATCTGTTTTGTCTCCTATTTGTATGCATTTGCTAATGATACCTAAAGAACAAGGTTTGGTTTTTTTGTTTGTTTCCAACTGCACCAACTCTAAAGGCACTTTATGTAACACATGGAGGTCATATCTGTTTTTTATCATAAACATTAATGTGATTATATTCCTTCTCACTGCACATGTCTTTCGGGTGCAATATCTATCAATTGTGAATTTGGCTGCTGCTGCTGCTGTATAAAAACCAGATGTAGTGCTGGGCCTGCAGACATGTTCTCACCAATTGTTTTTGTGATTTTTTTATTCAATCACAAAGATTTATTTAATATATACAGTTATCTAATCAATTTTGTTACCTATGACATGTTGCATGCTTAAACTATAATGCCTGAGTTGTATCTGTTGTGTGATAGATTAAAGGCAAAAGAGAAGACTTGCATTTGATCCATTGAAGTTAAATGGTTAACATAGTAGTAGGGTAGGTTTGAGGGTATGCAGTCAGCAATTTGATTATGTTCAGCTTTGTGAGTTTTTGTCCATCTACGAAACACACTTTGCTGTTTTTTCTAAGAACCCGACTAATACTTATTCACAAGCAAGATGACAGAGTGCAAGAATATCTGAAACAATTTCACCCCTTATTGCCAAGAACTGAGGTTTTTTTTTAATTTTATTTTAATTTTTTTTTTTTTTGGCACATGCAATCCGCTACCAGCAATGCGTTCGGCAGCAGTTGCAGGCAGGGAGTGTAATAAGTATTAACTCTAGCCATGAGAGCTAATTTAGCAAAACTCATCAAAGCTAATAACATTCAGCAAATGCTAATTTGTCAAACTTTGCCTGGCTTGGGATGCAGCCTCAGTTTGCTCACAAAAGTTTGAAGAGTCAATAGGTGCATGAAGAAGTTTTGAACCTTCTCATTTGAATGTAGATTAAGGTTAATTCCCTTTCTATATTAATTTTATTTTCAGACATTCCTTTTTTTCCATCTGGTGAGCTGAAAATCTAGACATGAGAATGAAGTGGGCTAGATCTGAATAGATGTAAAACACTATATTGATAGCCTCTTACGCTTTTAGAGAGTGGGATCTGATCTTTCTAACGTGTATCTACATGCCAAACTTCTGTAGCTAGAACATGGAATTGCCTTTAAAAATCTGTCATACTCCACGTCAGTTTTGTTTTTAAAAAAACAATGTCTTAACTGGAAGAGTTTTTGTATGTTTGGAGGCAACATTTTGCTTCAGTGCCATGTAACAGAACCTTATTCCAAGGACTGCTATGAAGTTTGCGCTATAGACTTGAAATATAAACTAACGCTTGTGTAATAAGGGAAAGTGTAGTCTAGCAGTTAGGCTGGGGGAATTGGGAGTCAGGACTTGGGTTAAATTCCCAACTCTGCCATCACTCTCATTGTGACTCCTTGGTTGAGTCATTTAAATTCTGTGCCTGTTTCCCCATCTGCAAAATGGGCTTCAGATCTGTGTGTAAAGATGAAAGGCTCTGTATAACTTCACAAGATGAAACAATAGAGCATAACTTTTTAAGACCAGGCTTTTAGAAAATTAGGCTAACGTCTTTTCAGATCCACTTACACATAAACTAAGAATAGAAACTCCAAAAGACTTCAGTATACATTACTGTATTGAGGTAAATTCCTGCCAAGGAGAAAATTTTGTATTTTTAATCACTGAAAGTACTCAGTGTTGGAAAATAAGTACAAGAAATGTTTCTCAAAAAATATCCCCCAGCCCCTTAGCGTCCAGAAAACTTAAACCTTACTGTAGAAGTGAGTCTGTCCCTTTTCGTCAGGGTCTCTAAGAGATCCAAAGTTGGTATTCCAAATCCCGGCTATTGCCAAGGTAAATTTATAATGTGAAAAGTTAATTGTTCGGCTAACCCCTTTATTGCACAAAGTCTTACGTGTTGCATATTAGAAGTTCTTTTTCGTTCGCTCACAGGCAGTTCCTGAGCAGCACAATCCTTGAATTTTAGCCACCAGTGAAGTTGTTTTGATGTAGCTGCACTGGTGCAAGCCTCTAGTGTAAATGCACTGCACCAGTGCAAAGCAGATGTTGCACTAAGGTAGCTTACCTTAGTGGCTAAAAACCCTACTGTAGAAATACCCCTTGTGTCAGCCAAAAGGCTTTACCACCTGTGGAATCTGTTCTTTAAACCCAGAGAATTGTCTTCAGTTTTGCGAATGACTTGTGTGAGGTCCAGGTACATAGTGTGTGCTTCAGCAAAACAGCACCTATAAAGGAGTTTGATTCTATTCTACAGATTACTTTGTAACTAAGAACTGTATATGTTGAAGCTGTTTTTGCATTGACTATTAGGATATAAAGTAGATTTCTTGGAGTTTCTGTTCTAATGCACTGAACCTCTTAGAAGTTCTTCTGGAATTCCTGACACTGTATTTGAAGGACTCTTTCTCGGGAAAGGTGGCTAAATGTCTCTTATTTATTAAACCTTAATTAATGAGGAAATTGCTCCATTTGGACTTGTGCTCTAACTTGGTGCCTTTCTTTAATATTCAAATACTGTATTCACATTCATTCACCTTGACTATGTATGGATAGTTCACCCCCTTAATCATAAAACAGATACTTTTGTAGAATTTGTATTTTTAAAAAGATTCTAAATGGCCAAATTATTGTAATTTCTTGCTCACATCAAGTCTTTTATATCTCTGGCTCTCTTGTAAGGCAGGTCAGTTACGTATCGTAATTCCCGCGTTTATTCCTAGTTGATGGAAACTCATTATGACTGGACCTAATTTCTTCCTGAAAATTTATCTTCCTTTTGTCTTGCCACTGAAGTTAACCAAAAAAAAAAGAAAAGCGAATTTGTTATTTCACTCAATTTTATTTTTATCCTAGAGAAGACATCCCTATCTCTGAATTTCTCATGCAGGGAGGGCAAGCTGCGTGCTCTCTTGTAATATTTTCTGACAAACCAGCAGAGGATGCTGCTCTACAGACTAACCAGTATCTCATTTCCTCCCTCCCCCCCAAAAATCTCCACTATCCCAAAAGACATCCACTACCTCTGTTATGTGATTAGCCTTTACTGACTGGGGATCGAGACTGCAGAGTTCGGTATCATACTTGCAAATCTCACTTCTGAGATATTGAATCTGTTCATATACTTTTGAGTGAAACCCTGGCCTTGATGAGGTCAATAGCAAAACTCCTACTGACTTCAGTGGGGCCTGGATTTTACCCTTTGTGTTCTGGAATTTATAACGGGGAGGAATAAGTGACACGTTTGGACCACTTTTTCAAATATATATAAATAAGTACAGTATACCCAACTATATACAAAATTGAATTTTTAATAGGTAAGATGAAAAAGAAAAAGCCCTTATAATTACCAGAGTGGACATTTTACAAGCATGAGGGTGGTTTTTAATAGCAAAAGTCTTTTCTTTTGCTTGTATGGAATTTTGGAAAAAAACTCTCTTCCGACATCTGTTAGACGTTGCACTAAAAAGCGATACATGTTTGAAATGCATGGGAAAATTGTTTTGCTAAAACCTGGAATCTAACCCATATTAATGTTACATATCCCTCAGGTCTGTCATACTGCACACATAACATTACATTCATATCACATGACCACCCCCACAAACCATATTTAATCACATGCCTCTATATTTCTAAGCCATCTGGATTTTCTTACGTTGCTCTTTCATTTAGAATGTCATGTTTTCCTCTTTCAGTTAACGTCCATGTAGCTTTTGTTCTTTTTTACCACTATATATACATATATAAACACAGTGTGTACCCACATACAGTAGTACATATATGTAATGCATTTTTATATGTCTTTAATCAATTCTGTGTTCAGGATTGGCTTCTAAAGAGGATTGTGAGCAGTTTGTCTCCAATGCAGCTTTAGCAAAGCCATGCCACAGTGAATACGTTATGATTCTCGGAACCCAAATAAAACCACTAGAAGGTGATTTTGCTATGCTCTGTGTTTGTGAACTTATGACCTTTATTCAAATTTAAACCTGAAATGACTACTTCCAAAGGTGAAAAATAGTTTCAAACATTCCAGATGAAATTCACGATCTTTCGTAACTTTTTATTGTAAAACGCCTCAGAATATGAGGCTATTTAAAATTATACTAAAACTACATTAAAATTGATTTAAAAAAAAACAAACTGAAAACTACTATTTATAAATAATGCTCATTTTCACAATCAAAATAGCTTTAAAGTACGGTTGGATTTGATACACAGTGGAAAATGTTTTTTGTTTTTGTTTAAGGACAAAATCATTTTTTCCATTTATTTTCTTAAGAGAAGTGAAGGAAATTGTAGTTTGTTTTCCTGACAGCAAAAGATCAATGTGACAAAATGAAGTTGTTGTAATGAAATGATGCAACTTGTTAAATATTTAATAAAGAATTATGGACGCTGGAACATTTTATACTTCAAATACACGGTCTGTCTAATTGAAAACTTGCTGTATTGTGTTAAAAGGGTTGTAACGTCCAGTAAAATTCGGGGGGAGGGAAGATGCAGGGAAGTAAACGATGGTAATCAGAGCACCTATGTACAATGTATCTGAAGCATTACTACCATCCAGGTACTGCACCTTTTTTCTTGATAATTACTACTTGACAGTTGTTGACTTGCACAATTAATGCATGGTTAGTATGCAGACAATAGACTGTTTTACACATTCTTTTGAAGGAAAGCCATGGTATTAAATACAGAATCTCCTTCCCCCCCACACACATCTCCCTACCCCTAACTCATGCACCAATGTTAAGCTGTTTTTAATACCAAAAAGTAACTTTTGTTAAAATTATTTCAGCAGATGCAAGATGCAAACTGATTCAAAGTAAGCCCTTCTGTTTTTATATTATTCAACTTTCAGGAGTTACTTACAAGCTTTATTTTATGATTCAACATACCTACAGCAAGTATATATTTTTAAATCCTGCATCTGTGAACAATCTTTACAAATCTTCCCACTGTAACTATTCAAATATAGGTTTTGAACAAGAACACAAAAATGTGAACATTAAATGCAATTAAGTGTGCTGCTTTTATCTCATACATATACTACCAAGTTCCTAAACATCTATAAAAGGAAACTTACTATATGCACTTTAAATAGAGCGTGCTAACTTATCTTAGAACATGGATTAAAAAGAGAGATGTCTTAATTTAACAACCAAGCCTATATTAGTGCTATGTAGCTCATCCTCTTTTGTACCATGTGTTTCAGTGCCACAATTCAAACTCGAAATACAGCAGTACTAAGTAACTAAATTCTTGGCCACTAACCGTAACATAGATGCTGTGCATTACAGTCGCCAAACAGGAAAGGCTGGAAGCTTGGGCAGGGATGTTCTTTCTTCTGTGTTTGTACTGCGCCTAGCACAAGGCTCCTAGGTAGTGCAGTAAATACAAAGAAACACTATCAGAGAAATCAGACCTCTTGGTTCAAGCAAGTCACACTTCTGACTCAGCAGACGACTTTGGAAATACCGTACCTTCCTCCACAACCATTAGACTCTCTGTCCCCAGTACTGATGAGCAAGGTAGGAGGCGTAATAACCAGAAAGGGAGATGTATATATGCTCAGTAGGAAGTTAGTATTTAAAACTAAGGGTACGTCTTCACTATCCGCCGTATCGGCGGGTAGTAATCGATTTATCCGGGATCGATATATTGCGTCTCATTAAGACACGATATATCGATCCCCGAACGTGCTCACCGTCGACTCCGGAACTCCACCAGAGCGAGCGGTGGTAGCGCAGTCGATGGGGGAGCCGCGGCCGTCGATCCCGCACCGTCTGGACCCCAGGTAATTCGATCCAAGATACTTCGACTTCAGCTACGCTATTCGCATTCGTATCTTGGATCGATCCCCGCTCCCCCCCCCAGTGTAGACCAGCCCTAAGAATAATGTGAGGTTGGGGCTCCCTTAAACAGTCCTATTGCTGCCCTGAACTTTACTTCAGATAGGTGCAGAGGCCGCTCAAGAAAATCTGCCACCCAAGGCAAAACTTCAGTGTACCAGTCCCTCCCATCACCTAGAACAGAGGTTCTCAACTGGGTGGGTGTATGCATTGGGCTTTCTAGGGGAGAATGGCAAGCCTTCTGATGGTTCAGTGGTTATAGTAAAAGGGGGGGGTAGGGTCCAAGCACCAGGTCTAGTACCATGAAGGTTTGGCCTGACCGCACTGCCACCCCAGGCAGAATCAGCCACCCTAGGCAGCTGCCTTGTTAGCTTATAGCAGAGCCTGTCAGCCGAGTCTGGAGCATGTATTTGACTTACACCAACAATGCAATTAGCTGCCCTGTGACCTTCTATCATACCTTCCAATTAACCACAGCTGAGGGATCGCACAGACGGTGCAATTCCGTTGTCGGCTCAGGCTAATGCTTGTTTATGTATCATTGTCCAGGGGCTGGAGGAGAGTCTTGGGAAAAGAATGACAACAGGCAGAAACATGACATTGCCCCACCATCTTCCAGAAACACTGCAAGTCACCTGCAACAAATACCTGATGGCTATCAGTGACTGGAAACCTTTGCCATTACGTTCCTGTGGGGTGTATCATTGAACATACCAAGTGATCATTTAAAGATACTGAACACCATTTAAGGACTTAACCCTTCAGGATTCTGAATAGATATTTTCCTTGATGAGTTGCTTGAACATACCGGTATTCTGATCAGGTCTCATTTCAACAGGAAAACTACTACTTCATCTTTCTCCAACCCTCAGTAACAGCCCTTCACTCTCCAGCTATGGAGGCTACCCGTTCCAGAAAGCCAAAGGTTACGCCAGAGACCGCTTTTGTTGACAGACTCGCATTGTTTGTTTTTGAAGCACTTTGTTTTCGGCTTAATCACCTCCCAACAATTCTTCTGCTTCGTTAGGCTTGGAACATGTTCAAGCTGCTCACTGGTGCTTCTGCCTTCAGCTCCCTCATTCCTGCCTCCGCAGCAGCAATTAGTTTATCTCTGAACATTCTTTTTCTGTGCTTGCCCGTTTGCTCCCTTGACAAGGAGTTCCCCCTTGCCCATAACTCATCTCCTGTCCACGCTTGGGAACCGTAGCTCTTTCTGAGACCACCTGCTGCCATGGCATCCGGATGACATTTTTCAAAGCTGATCCTACCAGCCACAACTGAGTCCTTCATTCGGCTGGAACTGGCACTGTCTGCAATTGTCTGCTTGCTCCTTTGAAAGAGCAAATATCTTGGTAATACATAGTAACACACTGTATGTCGTACTCCAGCACACGATTCACCTGGGCTTTTTACCAAATAAATAAAAACTAAATGGCCTTGAAATTCTGCACTTTTCTTCAAACGATGCCTATTTATTTTGTTAATGCTTTGGCGGTTATATCTAGTATATGCTGTTTCAAAAAACTAGTACAGCAATTTCTTTACTATTTCAAATATGAAGTGAAAAGCAAATTGCAATATGGCAGCTTCCCTTTGTGGACATTGTTGGTTCATCATCCTTGGTAGTAGCAGATGCCGTACCAGTAAAGTGCATCCTACAAGGAAGATTTGCTACTATGTCAACAATATCTTACATGTTACTCTTCATTCTGATGGATGCCAACATACCTGACAAATTATGCCCACTACTCACTGCAGTCACCTCCAAGGAGCAATGCAGTAACTATTTAACAATGAGATTCTTCCTATTTCTAGCCGCCGCCTCCTCCTCTCTTAGTGGCAGGACCAGTAGCAGCACTTCTTCAACCCTGGGGACTCCCCCACCTCTGACAGTAAGTCATGGGGCTTGAGAGGAAAAAATAGTAAATCATGAAATCTCTATCTAGGTTCTTGCATTGGACCCGCTGAGTGCCTCCACTTGCAAGGTCTCATCTGAAAGGTTCTTATTAACTACTCCTTCTGTTACCTTAATCTGGAGAAAACTTTAACCTCCTAGGCATGTGCGGAATAGAAGGGTTCACATGACTTTCTGTCATCAAGTATAAAACGCTGAACAAATTGAAAATGGCATCAGAGACGGGCACGGGGTTTTGAAATAAGCATCTGTTTAGAACTGATAAGCCTGTAATAGAATGTTAAACGTGATCAGTAATAAACGTGTCATTCTCTTTATTTTATTGAACATCAGAGGGACGGGGACAGCCTTTACCTTGTATCTGACATTCAGAATGGAGATCATCCTAGGGACTGTAATGTGTAGACCTCTCTACAGACCTTGCCGATTTCAGTCCTTAGGCACCTAAGTACCTTAGTGGAGCTGGGCCTAGGTGCTAAGTCTGGAGTTCAGACTAAGTCCCATTTTTTGGCACCAGTGCCATCCACAAAACTCCCACTCAGCTACCGTTTTACCCTAAACTTACTCAGCACTTATTTTTGCAGTAAATTTCCTTTGGCACCTAAGGCTCTGCCTCTGGGCATGCAAGCTACTGCCTTGCTTCTCAATGGCCTGAGGTCTATTTCCCAAGTGCAATCCACCAACCAGAGCAAGGAGAGACAGTGGAGTACCTATTTCACCTGTGGGGCCCAATCCAGTAGGCATGCTCCAAGGCCACCTCCCAATCTGGTCCCATTAAAAATCTGGCTGGAGGAGGAGAAGGAGGCACCTACACAAAACGGTCACTGGGCCAGAGTGAGAGTGACTATAACTTGGTAGTTAGGGCATCCCCAGGCCAGTCTTCCTGCTCCAATGACTAATTATTTACTCACAGCAGAACAGTTTCAACAGGAGAGACTAAAGGAGCCCCACCTATTCCGTTGCTCAGGGGTTAGAGCATGGTCCTGGTAGCTAAGAGACCCCCTACTCACATCCTCTCTCACCTCAGATTGAAGGGGGAATTGAACCTAGATTTCCCACATCCCAGGTGAGTGAGTGTTCTAATCACTGGGCTAAAAGGAGGTCGGCACCACCTCATACTCCTGTCATTTTGAAGGAGGATGCACTTAACTCATTCTCAAAAGAAAAAATTTAGGCACCTAAGCCACATGACTCCAGGGGAAGGGTTCCCGGTTGTGGATCACAACAGAGAGGCGCCTATCTCCATGAAAGGGGAGGGGCTTAGGATACACCCCCGCTAGTTGGCATGTCCCATTGGCTAGCGTAGGTGGCTCCCCCTAGCATACTGGCTTTTGTGGGATCACGTTTGTAGGTGCCTGTCTCTTCCCATTCAGCCCTAACTCAGGCCTTGTGGAGCTAAGCATTTGTTCTGTAATTTTCTAGAGGCCTAAAAGTTAGGTATTGCAATGCTGAGTATCACAACATCTAAGTCCCTTTGTGGATCTAGGCCCTTACATCCAATAAAACTAACCATCCTTAAGTTTTACCACTTCACCTCCACAGTTACTTGAAACACTGTAAAGCTGACAGTAAACGAAACAAGGAGATACACATTTCAGAGGACCTTGTGAATAAAGCACAGAAACA